TTGATCAGGATAACCTGAATAAGGACATGGTTTTGACTTCTATAATTTCTTTTTTTTTTTCCCTCCATTATAGCTACTATTCTGTATTCATCCCATTTTCTGAGTATTCTGTCCTTCACTTTTGTCTCTGTTTGTTTCTTTGCTGACTGTTTAGGTTGCTATTTATAAGGTTTGATTTATCGTATAAAAAGTGCATCAATAAAATTGTATCTAAAAGAGTCTTATTTCATGGATACAGTATGAGAAAGGCTTTTAGTGTAGTAATTCCGTTGTCTTATTAGAGTAAGTGGATATTGAATGTGTCTTGTCATGTCAGGAGAATGTACTATATGTGTTCCAGTACATATAACTTTGACTTAATGAAAAACTAAAACCCTTGTATATCCAACTTCCTTACTAGCATTTTCCATCTTTAATAAATAACCATCCTTGTATATTTGCTAAATGGGTGCCTTCTATTATCTTCCTTTTCACTATGTATGATAATATATTAGTTTACGATTCATTTTTCATAGGTGATGCTAAAAGCAAAACTTGTTCCTCTTAAATGTCTCTCTTCCTAAAAGCAGGCTTGTTCTTGGTCCACAAGACTCGTCAAGATTTGATCTACGTGTGTTTTAGCTGTGATCACATGCGAGAGGAGTAGAGAGTACTAGGGAGCCCTGCTTTTGATCTTCCCTCGTTTGCATTGAGTCAGAGCTTCCAAGCAGAATTGACTAGCTGCAGTACACACAGTACACACACTCCAGGGAAGCTGCTACCCTCACTCACATATGGTCAGCTGGGTAAACTCTCTAAGGAATAGCCAGGAATTGATAAAGCAAGTCACCTTGATATTTGGATGGCTTTAAATTACCACAGTGTTGTGGTAGCTTCCCAAGCCCTAAAGAGAAACTATACAGCTTTGCCCCACTGTTCTTTAAAGGACAACCCAAACACCCTCTTCCCAAGTTAAAACAGTATGTAGTTACTATTTTACACTGTACCTAATAGGCTCTACTCTTCAGTCATAATGCCTTCCCTGCTGCAGGGAGGGAACATACGACAAAAATACTTCTGTGTGGTTACACATGTCTATAATCCAGCACATGGCAGGGTTCAGAAGAGGCGTGGTTGAGTTTGAGGCCAGCCTGGACCAGAGTCCCCGTACAACCAGGCATGGTGACATCCCTGTGATATTCCTGCTCCTTGTTTACATGAGAGATGGAGGCTTGTGAGCCAACTAGTGGAAGTCAGGGACCAGCATCTAGATACCTCAGTTTGTCCTCTGACTTTTGTTCATGGTTGCAGGGGAGCTTTGAATCTACTAGAACAAATAACAAAACAACACCCATTCTACAAAAAAAAAAAAAAAAAAAAAAAACAAATTCTTTCTTTTACTACTTCCTGCAAAGAAATAATAGCCATGGGAGCTAGAATTCTTCCTTTCTCAAGTATGGTTTTATCCTTAGAAAAACAATCTCCTGTGCATGTTTTCTATATATTTCTCTTTGTTTCCATACATTCATACATTTATCCCTGCCCCCCTCCAAGTTCCATTCATGTATTTCTCAGCTGCCTGATCAGAGACTCTTTCTCCTGGTCCCTGAATTCCACGCATTTCATTTGTACCTCCCCACGCTCCCCCATTTCCCTTTAAACAGAATCTTGCTTTATATAGCCCAGGTTGGACTTAGATTAATGATATTCTTATAACCCTAGTACTAGAATTAAAGGTATGCTGAGATTCTTTTTTAGTTTAATATGGTTCACTAGTAGGTCTGTTTCTTTATGAGAAATCCTTCTAGTTATAGTAGATGTAATTTTTGTATGTCTTCCATTCTTTCCTGTCTCTCCCTCTTTTATATCCATTGCAACCCAAAACTCAGATCCACAGTGCTTTTTCTAGAGCTTTATTTCCCAGAATAATACTAAATTAATTTTATTTACCTCATTAATATGCCAATAGTTTTTACTTTCCACTACTATTGTGGAAAAAATAATAATATTGAAAATTGTTATTTTTGTACCTTTGTCTCAGCCTAACTTACATAAGTTCATATTTGAACTTTTATTTACTTGTGTTTTTTTATATACACACACATTTTTTTCAAGGTGGATATAGTGTCATTCCTGAGAATTTCTTTATTCTTTGGAAGCTTATATATTAAACAACCTAAAGCTGAGGCTGTAGCTCAATAGTAGAGCCTTGAGTTGGATACCCAACATCACCAAAATAAACTCTGTTTTCTCTTTATTTCAGGAAATTAATTTAGTTCCGACCTCAGATTCATTACACTTAAGTCCATTTATTCAGCCTCAAATAGCACACTTATTTGATTAACTTTTGGTGTTTGGTTGGGTGGTTCGTTTTGGATCTGTCTGCTAGTTAGCCTTGGTTGGCCTGTAGCTGAGTGTTCATGCCACAGACTCTTAGCAGCCCTGCTATATCAGCCTCACAAAGTCCAAGGCCATAGGTGTGCACCATTTCACCATGCTTTAGTGTGTTTTGGAGATTAATACTAAAATTTTTAAAGGAGATTTGCTAGAGGATGAATTTCTAGGAAGATTTTTTTTTTTTTTGGTTTCCTGTGATCACATGATTAGTTTTCTGAAGTAACATTTCATATAAGCTAAAAAATACTTGTTTCTTGAACAGTCAGTCATTCACAGTGCTCATACTATGGCAGAAACTAGCATAATTGTTAGATCTTCAGCTTTGATGTGAAATTCTGATAAGCACCCACAGCAAAAATTTTAGGATGCCTGCATACTTCTGCATCGTTCAAAAGACACCCACATTGCTATTTAGCCTTGGGGAAAGTAGCTGATTAGGGACATAAATATTCAGTGTCTTATAACAGAGATGGAAAGAGATGCCTTTTCTGTGTATATTATAGACTTTCTGTTGCAGTGTGGAAACTAAAGACTTTATGCTTAAAGATTAATAAATTGACAGGTTTGTTTCTCCTTGTAGCTTTATTTGAATAATTGAACAGCTGAGGGAGTGGTGAAATCTGGATTAAGATTTTCTGTTTATTGTTAGGAATCAGCATTGACCCCCTGCTGTGTGGGAAACATTGAACAATGGGAGTAAAGCCCAACTGGGATTGTGATCCACTGCCATGTGGTCATGTTGAAGAAGAAATTATTTCTACACATTTCTGTTAAGGTTAATAATTGCTAGTTGCCATGTTTATTCAAAATTCTACATAAAGAGAGGAACAGTAAGAGGGTAGAGCAGGGTAACATTGAATGAGTGTGTGGATTTGGCTCTGTGGTTACACATAATCTTCCATAACTCATTTCTTTTAACTATTATATTCAGAATTCACTTATTGATACTGAAGCACTAAAATCAGTTTTAAAAATTGGACTTCGTACATACAAAGATTCAGTGCTCAAAATACAGCTGTGTTTGTTCCCTGGTGTTGAGAGTATGGATTAAGAACCATGGTGATGGTGTGAAGGTCCTATCTTTAGATTTAGAGCATCTACCTTTCAAGTCGTCTCCATCTACCCTTCATGTATTCATTAAGTCTTTGGAAATGTCTTGCCTTGCATCCCAATAAGGACTGAACAGGTAGTGAAAACAACTGAGCCAGAAAGCAGAGAATAAAATACTAAGAGCTACAGAAATAGACGTGAAATTTTACCAAAGAAAGAAAGAGTAATAGCGAGAATGCATGTGTGGTTTGTGGAAAAGTCTGTAGAATTGGATGACTAAGAGCATGTAGAGTCAGAATAGAGATGGGGTTCTCAAGGAATCTTAGGAATCTTGTGAATCTTTTGTATTGGTTGATGTGGAAGACTTTTAAGCCAGGAAGTGGTGGTGTATGCCTTTAATCTTAGCACTCAGGAAGGAGACAGAAGCACATAGATCTCTGAGTTTGAGACCAGCCCGATCTACAAAGCTAGTTCTGGGAGATCCAGGGCTACACAGAGAAACCTTCTGTCTTGAACTACAAACAAAGGAATTAAAGGAATTTTGAATTGTTAATGTTGGTACTTTAGATGTGGAAAGGGTGTGATAGCTAGATGATATAAATTTGTGCTACTCACTCACTCACTCACTCTACCTACCTACCTACCTACCTACCACCTATCTCTATCTGTCTCTCTGTCATCTTTGAAGTGATCTTACTAAGATTACCTCAAACTGGAACAGGTTGGCCTTGAACTCACAGTCCTTCTGCCTTAGCCTCCTGAATGTTGGGATTACAGGCCCATCCCTTCATATGCCTAGAAGCAGCTCTGAATTTATTGACTTGTTAAAATTAATCCTGGCAGGTAGCAGTTACTGCATACTTCAGATACCACTACAGTATAAAAGTATTCGTTATTGTTATTTTCATTATTAGTTCAGACTGGATCATGCCATGTTGCCTATACTCCTGTCCAAATTTTGAATTCAAATAGTCTGCTTTCTGGATGCTGGGAATATAGATTGTACCACTAGGCCTATTTTAAAAATTCAGATCATTAAAATGGGCTCATGTCATAGTGACACTTAATTTTAGGCTTCCTTTTACTTTACTGCTTTTTTTTTTCCCCTGAGGAAAAATATTGAGGGACCTGTCGTCATTTTTATATTGAATTACTTGAGTCAGGCTGTGTAGGAAGAAAGACTTATTTTAAGGCTCGCAGTTGTGAATGCTGAAAGCCCAGAAAGCATCCTGTAGGCTTTGGTAAGGGCTTCCCCTTGACTATGTCACCTTATAGTGCAGTCCAGTAGAAGGAGCATGTGCAAATGAGAACATTACATCAGGAGTCATATGTTTACAGCATAGCTTCCATGAAGGGACCTTGAACTAGTTACATCTCTAGTACCACTATACTGGGGACAAACTCCCAATTCATGAACCTGTATAGGAAATAAACCACGAAATTACCGCATTTCATTCTTGGAAGTTTTGGTCATCCTAAGTGTGGTTAACCATGTTTAGTTATGTTTGTTTTTTATCAAGTAATTCAAAATTGTATAATTCTTAATTTACATTTATATTTCTTTCTATAACCAGGAACCTTTCGAGGATGGCTTTGCAAATGGAGAAGAAAGTACTCCAACCAGGGATGCTGTGGTTACATACACTGCCGAGAGTAAAGGAGTTGTAAAGTTTGGCTGGATCAAAGGCGTATTAGTATGTATGCATACATTCCACTTGATGGTTACTGTCCTGTTGAATAGAAAATGTAGCTGATGTTCTCAGGAGAATTACTGTGTCTGCTTTCACTATTTGTTTGTGAGTACTATGGAAGATCCAGTTAATGCCTTGTGTGTTCTTTCTTTTGTGATAATATGCTCATTAGGGGAGAAATGTTTGTTATTATATATATCATCTTGATAAAATTGGAAACTCACAACCCAAATGCTGAATTAGTTATAACAAAAAAGGAACACAGAATAAAAAATTAATATACATGATAAATACTTTAAATTTTTCAAAAATGGTGTGATCCTTTGACATTTGTGTTGGTGTACATGCAATACCTAACTCCGCCTTAATCATTCATAACACATGTTATGAATGCATAAGCAAAACTTTTATGATAAAGACAAATTGTAACTATAAGGCTTGAAGGAAGTCTTAGCCAGGTGTGGTGGCACAGGCCTTTAGTCCCAGCACTTGGGAGGCAGAGGCAGGTGGGTCTCTGAGTTAAAGGCCAGCCTACTCTCTGTAGTGAGTTCCACAATAGCCAGGGCTACACAGAAAAAGTGTCTTCAAAAACAAAAACAAACAAAAAAGAGTCAGTCTTAAAAATAATCTTCTGTTATGTTTCTGACACCACTGGGAGCACGTTTACTTATAAACATAATTACATGGCACTTACAGCAGCTAAGGTAAGCTCTTAGAAAGCCACTTTGACAAACTTAAGGAAAAGGAATTAGATTTCAAAACACTTCAGTAGTTTCAAGCACATTTTATCTTTTGGCTTGCTTAATTTTTATTGATGTGTCATGTTTTAATTACATTTATCTGTGATGTGAACTCTTTTCCTCCCAGGTTCGTTGTATGTTAAACATTTGGGGTGTGATGCTCTTTATTAGATTGTCCTGGATTGTGGGTCAAGCTGGAATAGGTAAGTGACGTTTTATACCGCTTGATCTATGTGTTATAATAGCTACATGCCTTTCTGCAATTGCTGACTGAGCTGTGTTGCTTTTGTTATATAGATCGCTACCATAATTGGCTTTTATAATTTTGACTTTATTTTTCAAAAATGATACTAGAATTAGATAATTTTGTCCTGTGTCTTAGTTATTTATGTATTTCTGTGAAGAAACACCATGACCAAAGCAACTTAAGAAGAGGAGGGGGGGAGGAGAACATGAGGGATCAGGAAGACTGAGTCCAAGGAAAAATAGAGGAGAGCAAGAAAAGAGATACCATAATAGAGGTAGCCAATATAGGTTTAAAGAAAAATCTGGCACTAGGGATCCAGAGATCCACAAGGATGACCACGACTAACAAAATCTAAGCAGTAGTGGAGAGGCTACTTTAAATGCCCTTCCTCTATAATGAAATTGATGACTACCTTATATGCCATCCTAGAGCCCTCATTCAGTAGCCGATAGAAACAGAAGCAGACACCCACAGCTAAACACTGAGCTGAACTCCTGGAATCCAGTTGTAGAGAGAGAGGAGTGATGAGCAAAAGGGTCAAGACCAGGCTGGGGAAACCCACAGAAACAGCTGACCTGAGCAAGTAGGAGCTCACAGACCTCAGTCTTACAGCTGGGGAACCAGCATAGGACTGAACCAGGTCCCCTGAACACGGGTATCAGTTAGGCCCAGGCATTCTATGGGGCCTTTGTCAGTGGAACCAGTATTAATCCCTCGTGTGAGAATGAACTTTGGGAGACCTTTCCCCCAAGAAGGGATTCTCTCTCAGCCTAGACACTTGGGGGAGGGCATATACCCTGGCCCAGATGACATGGGGGTCCATGGAAGGCCTCACCCTCCTTGGGGAATGGATGAGGGGTGGGATGGGAGAGCCAGTGGGGGGCATAGGAAGGAGAAGGAACTGGGATTGATATGTAAAGTAAGATTGTTTCTAATACTTCGAAGAAAAAAGAAAGCATTTAGATGAGGCTGCTTACAGTGTCAGAGAGTGAGCCTGTGACTGTCTCAGTGGTGAGCAGTACAGCTGGCATGAGGAAGCTGCTGCAGTAGCTGAGAGCTTTTACCTCTCACCCACGAGCAGGATTGGGCCTGGTGTGGGCTTCTGAAACCTCAGAGCCCTCCCCCAGTAACACCCCTCCTCCAGCATGCCCACACTTCTAACCCTTCCTAAACAGTCCACCAACTAGAAACCAGCCATTCAATGTGAGTATATGGGGTCCATTCTCATTTAAAGCACCATAGTTCAATTCGGTGCTTAACCCTGCTAGTTCTAGGTAATGGCAAGTTTAGGAGTATGAGGTTCTTAGTTTCTTTTTCCTCTTTAAAGGTCTCTCTGTCCTCGTAATAGCGATGGCCACTGTCGTGACAACTATCACAGGATTGTCTACTTCAGCAATAGCTACCAATGGGTTCGTAAGAGGAGGTGAGCCCAGCTTGCATAGGCCCTACCTGAAAGACACATGCTTTTTAGGTTACTTTATCTTCCTCTGCCCAGAACTTTTGCCTGTTCTATAAATTGAATCTGTGTTTTTGAGAGCTTGTACTTGGCGGACTTTGCTTGAGTCCTGTTGATTCTGCTCTTAGGTAACACTGCTTCTTGGTCCCATCACTCAACTGCATTCCTGCATTGCACAGACCATTCTCTTCCCATCTGCAACTGAATACAGCCTTAAAAAGTAGGCGCCCCCGTGGCACAGGCACCTTTATAAGATGAACCCTGTGTGAATTTATTTGAGCTTACCGCTGCTGAATTGAATATGAGTTGGCATATTCTGTGGTTAGGTGAAGTGCATTTTACTTGTACTTGTGTCAGTCAGATAATTGTTGAGCACCTTGTGGCACAAGCTGGGTTTGTAACAGTGTCAGGAAAGGTCCTGTTTTCTAAGGACAAAGTAGTCACTTTGAGACCTAAGGGCTGGAAGTAATGCCATGGCTTTAACATACATTACTTTGAAGAATTTATTACTGTCCTCATTTGTATGACTAATGAGACCAGTTATGAGCAATCATATTCATGTTTTATACTAAAATTTAAACTTGGTGAAGATTATGCATCTTGATTTCAAATGACTAAAAAAAAAAAAAATGCTTTCTGGCATAATTGAAAGTCTCCTTCCTCATTTTGTATCGGTAAAGCCAAAACCCTGAAATTGATGAAAATGTCACATTTTCGTACTTGTGACAAAGATCACTCACTGTCTTAGTAAGATCAGGCTATCATTGGTGGTGGAGTTTTTGTCCTTAAATCTAGTATGTAGCTATGGATGACTAGTATTATCATGCAGGAAACTCCATAGTTCTTTCTTGGGATAGGTTAATTCCTTTAAGTTGTAACTTTCAGATCAATGAAGTATTTGTAGAAGCTACAAAGGGCAGTTCTGAAATTCCTGTTTCATTAGTGCAGTTTTCACTACAATACTCCCTATAAACAGAAGCAGCTCACATACCAGTCTTTTAAGGTATTTCTTTCTGAAAATACACTCACCTACTTGGATGAATCTGCTTTGTGAATTCCTTGGTGTAATGAAAAGAATTGTTAGCACTTAAAACCCTAACTTTTTCATTCTTTTTCTTAGGAGGAGCATATTATTTAATCTCTAGAAGTCTAGGGCCAGAATTTGGTGGTGCGATTGGCTTGATCTTTGCCTTTGCCAATGCAGTGGCAGTTGCTATGTATGTTGTTGGATTTGCAGAAACTGTGGTGGATCTGCTTAAGGTAATTGGACCTAGCGTTCACTTGCCAAATCTTTGCTCACAGGATACACACACATACACACACACACACACAGACATGCGCGTGCGTACACACACACACACACACACACACACACACACACACACACACACCTTAACCTACATGTGAACTTAACAAAAGCTACCAATGTTATTTACTCCTACAAGTAATTTTGCTTCTGGATAGGAACTATGTGGTTTTGACAATAGCATGAAGGTTTGTCCTTTTTCCCTTTTGTATCATAAAAGATCAATAAAACATGAGTTCACTAATCATACCAAACAGAATATATTTCCATTGTATCACTTTAAAAAACCTAATAGTACTAGTCATTATAATTTGCTTGGTTAGTAATTCCTCTTTTTGATTTATTGGGTGAATATCAGTTGTATACCAGTAATTGTAATTCAGTTAGACATATAAGATAGCTGAAGGACAACTAATAGTAATAGTGGGTTTTTTTCCTTGATTTTGAGACTGGGTGTTAACAATGTGGCTGGCTGGGAAGTATAAATCAGGCCAGCCTTGAAATTTCTATAGTCCTTCTGCCTCTGCCTTCCACGTGCTGGGAACATGGGCATGCATCATCATACTTAACCTCTGCTTGTTCCTTTAATAAGTGTTAATTGAATGCCTATATCGAAGGAGCTGTTCATTGTATTTCTCTTTTGTAGGCTCATTCCCTACTTATGATAGATGACATCAATGATATCCGAATTATTGGAGCCATTACAGTAGTGATTCTTCTGGGTATCTCAGTAGCTGGAATGGAGTGGGAAGCAAAGGTAAGTTGTTATAGAGCACCTATAAGCAGTTACTCCATAAACCCAATATTTTGGGGAAACTTAAGCTGACTTTTAGAATCTAGTGGAAAGGTGACCATTTTTATAGATGTTTACGATATGTAGGTTATTTGGCATTTAAAATGATATATTTGAAGGTAGCCCGTTTTAAATCCAGTTAAACAGTACTTTCCTCATTTATATGCTGTTTGTTTTTTGATTGCTTAAGAATTGAGCCTAAGGCCCCTTGCATGGTAGACTTTATGTCTACCAGGCGGTAACATCCCACTCCTTCATTTATTTACATATGTAACACATTGACTTTATTGAAAAGACTATCATTTCATCCTACTTGGGCCACAATTAATGTATAAGAAATTCTTGCTGGACTAGCAAGACAGCTGAGGCAGTGAGATGCTCTGTGGCCTGAATTGGATTCCTGGAAGCCACAGAAAGGTGGACAGAAAGACCCATGAGATCCACACATGTGGCCCCCTGTCACATAGTAATCATGTTTTAAAATGCCTTTTAAAAAGTTTTGTTTGCACATAGTATTTACCCCTTTTTTTTTTTTTTTGAGCAGCGCAGCAGAAGTTAGAGGAAAGTTGACACTCTCTCGGGCTTCCTGCCCTCCCTGCTCCTAGGTCCCCCCACTTGGCATGTAGAGCAGTTGCGGGCAGGCCCACTGTGTTTGGACCTGATCTGAAACTTATTTTGGTCACAAGCATATTCAGCCTGTCAAGACTGTACCCTTGGCAGAGAGGTAGGAGAGAGTTGTATAGAATTAAAAGCCTGTGGTTTGGGTGGGGATATACCCATCTTTAGGACTCATTTTAGAAACGAGTGGTACAGTTCTACCCATAAGTGAACATGCTCAGATAGTTTTGTTTGTCAGAGCTCAGACTAGTCTCAGACTTGGTGGTCCTGCCTCAGCTTCCTGACAAGTGGAAACTTCAGGCTCATGACCCTGCACCTCCCATTAATACAGTTCTTTAAGAGCTGTCACTCTTGTGCCAGCATTTATTGAGTACCTACTAAATGCTTTGCATCCTTTAAGACATTTGGCAGAAAGGCAAAGTGAGGCAGCTTGTCTGCAATGGAGCAGAGTGCAGGAGGCAGTCCGTGACTTCACTCTTTGAACCGTAGGCTCAGATCGTCCTCCTGGTGATCCTTCTGCTGGCCATCGCTGACTTCATCATAGGAACGTTTATCTCACTGGAGAGCAAGAAGCCCAAGGGGTTCTTTGGCTATAAATGTAAGTACAAAGGATAGATATTGTGTTAATAATGCAAATTAGAGCACTCTGGTGTTAACTAAATTTAGTACATTTTAGATATTTTAGTTGTTATTAAGTTTGGTCTGGTGATTAACACTAATTCATAATTTAGCTTTTGTCCTCTTTATGTAGGCTGTACAATTAGAGTAAATTTGCTTTCATTTTTATCTTTTATTTTTCAGTAATAGCAAGAACGGTTGGTGGAGTATAGAGAAGCCAGTGTTACTAAGAAGGTGCCTGCATGGCTCTCATTATACTTCTAGTTATGTGTTTCCTGGTGACGGGAATGTGAGAAATGTGTCTTTGGGTGATTTTATTGTTGCACAAACATCTGAGAATGTACCTACCCAAACTAAGATGCCTGTGACATCATCAGAGTTATTGAATCCATTATGTGTATTGCTCATTATTGGTGAAAATGCTACTTGGCATGTGACTTTTTAAACATAACAGTTTAAAAGTGCTGTGGATTGTGAAAGCAGATAGAAGTTGCAAAAATCATGACTTTTTACCTCTAAATACTTGAGCTCGTATCTACTAAGGAAAAGGGCAACTCAGGAAATTTATCTTTGGCATGATACACAGATAAATAGATGTTTTTAAGACGTCATGGGGATCCTAATAGCAACTGCAGGTTTCCTTATCCAGGACCAGTTGCATTAAGTTGTTCACTTTTCTTTTTCAAACAAAACAAAGCTGACTCATTATGTAATCCTCAGTCTCATTAGGCTTTTTGGTCTTCTGTGATGGTGGGTGAGTGTGTGTATGTGTTGGGGTATGTGTGTAGGGGGGTTATCTTTCCAGCTGGGTTGCTTATATTAGCCAGATAAGCATTGTGTCCTCAGCACTCAGAATTGGGGATCCTAGTGATCTCAGCATTCTCCACTTTGATGTTAAGCTCCTCTGTTGGGGAGTTGCCACTTGTCAGTTAATAAGTGATACTGAGACAGGGCATAGCCTTGCCCCTATTTGACTTTAACCAGATGGTTTTATTAGTAATCCTTCAGCGGGTTTCTGTCAAGTCACAATGACATGGAACAGCATAGACTGTTTTGTCTTCCTTAGTCACGGTCTTCTCCCTTTGAAAGGGTTTCCTTGGTAGCTGTCAGATTGACTTTCCTCGATGTGGTGATTGCTCTACCTCTGGGAGGTGTATTGGAGAGTAGGGTAGAGGCTGGCTCCAGTTCAGTGTGTTTCTCTTTATTTCTCTATCCCCTTTTTGTGTTTTTTACTCTGATGTGGGGGAAATTGGGTCACTAATCTATATTGTGATTTTCATTTGAGTTAGTGATAACAACTAAGTGTGGAGGTTCTTACACAATTAATGGTAAGAGGTACCAGAAGGTCAGACATCACCTAGATTACATCACCATTTTGATAGCAAACCATTTCTTCACACCAGAAAATAGGAGCACGGACACTGAATTAGTATTAAATAAGAATGACCAAGTGTATGGAGACCATATATACTAATTACTCTTGATTTAATTATTTTGTTCTCATTTGCTAGCCAGTAATTGCTGAAATATTTTGTCCTCTGTAGCTGAAATATTTGCTGAGAACTTTGGACCGGATTTCCGGGGGGAAGAAACTTTCTTTTCTGTATTCGCCATCTTTTTTCCTGCTGCAACTGGTATTCTAGCTGGAGCAAATATCTCAGGTGATCTTGCAGTAAGTATTATAAAGTACTGTATTGATTACTGGTGTTTTTAAAATGCTGTGCCTGCATTTATTTTTATAGACTAAAAAAATGTTTTGTCTTCTAGGACCCTCAGTCAGCCATACCCAAAGGAACACTCTTAGCCATTTTAATTACTACAGTGGTTTACATAGGAATTGCAGTGTCTGTAGGTAAATAGCCTTCATTTCTTCATATGTCTTAGAAATTTTGTGATGTTCATAGCATAAGTAGTAGAATAGCACTTTCTGACTTTAACATTCCAAAATTGTTCAGAAATAGTGACAGAACTCTCTCTCTAAATTTTATAAGCTATTTCTCAGGGTAGTTTTGAAATTTGGCTGAACAAAAGTTAGAGATGCTTACAGTATCATGATGAGTCAAATTGCCTTTTTAAAATGATTTTGGGATTTAATTTATTCTTAATGGATAATTCTAAAGTTGATTTGAGAAAACCAAGTGTTTCCCTGCTATTTTAAGTATGATTACATAATATATAGCCTAGATAAGAAGATTTGTTTTTAATTTAACTGTGTAACTGGTTATGATCTAGTTTTAAGATCTTTTGTTGCCACTGATTCATTTCTGCTTTAGTCTGACCCTTTGGTATTTCTAGACTTTGTACTGACTTTATTCTGTCTGTTCTCAATGAGAGTGGGGCCACACTGGTGTTCAGGAGTGGGCTGGGAAAGAACTCTGTGCCCCTGCTTGTGTAACTAGTCCAGAGTGACAGGACCTTTATTCCCAAACCATCAGGTACAGCACACGTGCGTTGTCCTGGTGGGGCTCAGGGTTTTCATTGTCAGTGTGCCCAGCCTAGACTATGCAGTGACTGAGAGCACGTGAAAGCATTGCTGCTTTCAAGCCCATTGGAGTCTTAAGTGTTCTTTTCTCTCTCTCCAATCCCGTCAATTTTTAGAGGTGCATTTAGATGGAGACATGCTTGGGGGTGGGGGGAGAGAGATGAAAGAAAGAAAAAAAATAATCACTGAAATATTTATACAAGGTTTTCCATTGTTTATGTAATGCTGGAAATGTAACACCTTTTTTATTGAAGTTTCAGTTTCATTAGTTAAATTTTAGTGACTTGTATATACTCAGCCTATGCAATTATGAATGTGTACCTAGACAGTACTGCGATTTCTTTATGAATGGATGTGTGCTCTTAAGAGGAATGCATGCATGAGTTACTCACATTATTATTTGTGCCTCAGGTTCTTGTGTTGTTCGGGATGCAACTGGGAATGTTAATGATACCATTACAACAGAACTAACAAACTGTACTTCTGCAGCCTGCCAATTAAACTTTGACTTTTCCTATTGTGAAAGCAATACTTGTTACTATGGGCTAATGAACAACTTTCAGGTGAGCATTGAGTTTTTGTTTTGTTTTGTTTTTGTGTAGACATTCTATAACTTATCTAGGGATTAGACCAGTATGAAATATGGCCTATCAGATTGTAGCTACACATTGGAAGGGAAGACAGTTGTTACTTTCTGCCCCTTACACTAAACTATATTATCACTAGCTCTGTAGACAGAAATCCGCCTGCCTCTGCCTCCCGAGTGCTGGGATTAAAGGCATGCGCCATCAACACCCAGCGATAAGTAAAACTTTTAATGCAGTGGGAAGAAACACAAACTGGTAGTATTGGGGGAATCCTGTGTAAATCATAGGTTATTTAGACAGTAAAGTGTGGTTGATAGACTATAACAAATAGTATGTAAGTAACATACTGACGTAGTGTTGTGTTGCTGTGAAGAGACACTGTGATCAAGACAATTCTTACACAGGAAAGGGTTTAGCTTATGGTTTCAGAGGACCAAGAGGCATACAGGCAGACAAGTTGCTGGACAGCTTGCTGAGAGTTTTAATTCCTGATCTTTAGACCACAGGCAGAGAGGGAGAAAGAGACACTGGCATTGCAGGCTTCCTTGGACTGCTAGTTCCCAGATCATGACACGGAGACTTATTGTTAATTATGAATGCACAGCCTTAGCTTAGGTTTGTTTCTAGCTAGCTTTTTAAAAATTAAATTAATCCATTTCTTTTAACCTTATGTGCTATGCAAGGCTTATATATTTCATTTATGTACTGTCCATCCTGCTTTCCTGCTTCCTCTGTGTCTGTCTGTCTGTTTGGCCCCTGGCAGGCTGGCTGGCTTCCTCTTTTCTTTCTGCCTGCAAGCCCTACCCATCCCTCCTCTGCCTAGCTATTGGCCATTCAGCTTTTTATTAGACCAATCAGGTGCCTTTAGGGCCATTCAGCTTTTTATTAGATCAAGCAGGTGCCTTGGGCGAGCAAGGTGAAATAGTAACACATCTTGACATAGTTAAACAAATACTCTATTCCACAACACATTGGGCTTGGTATAAGTTTTTGAAACCTCAAAGCCCATGCCCAACAACAACCTCTTCCAACAAGGACATGTCTCCTAGTTTTTCCAAGCAGTTCATTAACTGGGGACTAAGCATTTAAATATTTGAGCGTATGGGGACCATTCTCATTCAAACCACAACAGATGTCTATTATAAAACCCATAAAGGCTGCACTTTATATAATGATATTATTTAATATGTGTGTGTGTGTGTGTGTGTGTGTGTGTGTGTGTACATATACATAAATGACTTCTTGCTTAAGAGAGTAGAGATATTTGGGACATCTTACTGGTTTTAAAATTTGAACTCTACATGTTTTATATCACTACATTTCTTTATGTTGATATCCTATGAAACCTTTGACTTACGCTTTGCATGATGAACAAAGTGTGAGCTTTTTCTGTTGCCAGTCAAAGTTCCTCATACCTGATCTCTCACAACCCTCAGCTTATCCTGGATTTGGTCACTGTGATCATGCAAGTGTGTGCACACGTGCTACCATTCCTTACCATTCATTTGGAGAGCCATCTTATCTTGTCTTTCATCTTTGCTTCTGTATGTTGTGGACTGCACTGGTGTCACCCCTATTTTCATTCAATGTCACTATGTCCAAATACTCCTGTTTCACCATTATATTTTAGGAAATGTTAACGTTTGGGTAAATACTAAATTGGAAAGCTGGAAGTCTAGTTGGCTTCTCATGGAGTATTTCCCAATACTAAGCACAGGGCATGATGCTGATTTGTGCAAATAACAATGCAACCAGAGAACGAGGTTTTCATATCTAAGTGGGGGAGGAGTGCACATGCACTAGGGCCTTCGTAGTAACTGTTTGGACATAACACACTATCTTCACCAATTTATCAGTGTGTGGTTAATTGTGTTTTGTTTATAACTTCTCATCCCAGGTTATTTAGAAGCAAAATAGAATTTGTATCATAACCTTTTGGCTAGAAAACTTCATACCCACAGTACTATTGCAACCCCATAAAAAGAAACCATCTTAATGTATTACACTTTCACTAGAGATTGAACCTCAGTCTGACTCATTGGCTAGATATACGTTTTCTAGAAACTAGGAGGAGAGGAGTGGGTTACATAATAGAGAGGTATGGTCAGCACATTGCAGGATATAGGGTAGGATCTCCAGAGAATGGCAGGAAAAAAAACAAATTGAAAAATATTAAACCATATATTAAAAATATTGAAAAACTGTATCAACCAAATATAATAATTATTTTTGAGAGCTGGTTAAAAAAAAAATAAAACTTTGTAAATGACCAAGACAACAGAGACAACGAGCAGGTTAATTGCTAATTAGATACCTGATACTGTGACGGGATGGCCAAATCATCGAGCTGGACCAGCACTTAGCTACAGTTTCCAAATGTCTTGCCTGCTAATAGGTACAACACTAAACCTTATGCATTAAAAATCTAGGGTTGTGAATGATATGGCCCAAGTTGTTCATGGTTCATTATCCTCTTTTTTACTGCCATACGTTCATCTAAAAATTTATAAAAGAAAAGGATTTTTTAGTGGCAAATCTATTTTAATAATTTGTAATTTGCTTCTCATTGCTATTTATCAAATTACTTTTAGATTAATCCAGTATTTCTTTATTAGATTTATCTATACAATTCAATACTCTGCTCTTTTTCAAATTGTTTTTATGACTCATTTTCCAATTCTGTCACTTTATTTAAGGTCATGAGCATGGTGTCAGGGTTTGCACCCTTAATCTCGGCAGGTATCTTTTCAGCCACACTTTCATCAGCACTAGCCTCTCTTGTGAGTGCTCCCAAAATATTTCAGGTAAATGTTTTCATATTGTAATTGTTATAGGGGGCTTAAGATGTTTCAAAGTTTGGATTGTTGCTATATTCAAATAGATTACCTTCATCAACCTCGCGTGTTTTATATGTTTACATATACATATATCAAAATTGGTAGAAATATAAATGATATATAAATCCACACAGACATTTATGCACTTTTCTAATGTGGAATTGGATTCTTAGAAAGGATGAGTTGTGGCTCTGGAGAGATGGCTCAGCTGTATGGGCTAATGCAAAAGATCCAAATTCAGTTTCCAGCATGTATATTGGGGTGGTTCATAATCCTGTGATTCCAGTCATATACATAATTAAAAACGGTAAAAAAAAAAAAGAAAATATTTTAGGGATAAAAGGGTGGGTTTTGCTTCTTGACATTCTTAGTATAAAAGTCTAGGGTTCTCGTCAAAACTGATCAGTCTAAAACTGATCAGAAGTAGTAAATAATGATTTCAGTTAGCATGATGCCAACGTAAATGTCTTACATGGCTGACATTACGTTACTTGTAGTAGGTGCAGTGATAACTATAACCAACATTGCTTTCTACAATGATGATTTAGCAGCTAATACTGATGAGGGTCTCACTTTTAATTACTAAGTCAGGTAAATGTTGTTTTTTCTAGCCTTATTCTTTAATATTTTATTTGCAGCCAAAAAGTATGGTAGTGGTGCAGAATATGATTTTAAGGCAGCATGCATCTATTAAGATTTGAAGAAAAATGGTTAAACTTTATAATTAGGGTTTTAAATCTGCTTTTATGTTTCAGATTTGGACTTAGTTTTCATAAAGCCATAAGTACACTGTATTGTACTTATCAACTTCCAGTTTTCTTTTTTATTGTACTGTTATTTGGATGTCTGCTTCACTGGTTCTTCATAAGTAGAGTTTCAGTGTGGGGTAGAGCAAGACAAATTAAATCTTAAGCAGTGTTGTAAACCAACTACTCTTCTGCTATTTGAACTATTTACATATCCTTTATAGTTTGTAGATGAAGCTCTGTGAGACAGGAAACAAAAAGCATTGGAAGTGAGAGACCTGGGCTCCATTTTTAACCTACTTTAATCGTTAGCAGATTTGTATATCTTAATTTTTATGTATTTTATTTTAATGTGTATATTTTCTTATTAGGCACTATGTAAGGACAATATCTATCCAGCTTTCCAGATGTTTGCTAAAGGTTATGGGAAAAATAATGAACCTCTTCGTGGTTACATCTTAACATTCTTAATTGCACTTGGATTCATCCTAATTGGTTAGTTCTTTGGTATATCATGTGGGTTTTGGTATGTTTATGTATAGCATTATCTATAATCATGAATATTACATTATTAACAAGATGTGCCCTGATTTTTGTGCACTAAATTTCTAATCAAACAAAAAGTAAAAATACTGCAAATAATAGTGTTGGATATTATTTATCAAAATTATTGTTATTATGTGAAATTATAGAAGGACTCATGTAGCCCAAGCTGGCCTCCTATTCACAATTGCAGCTTAAGATAATCTCAAACTCCTGATGGTCCTGCCTCTATTTTCCAAGGACTAAGATCATAGGCATTTCCTAAAGTATATATGATGATAGTGTAGGAAAAGGATACTAGTGTACCCCAGGAAGGTGTTGCCTCTATCGGATCATATGTACAGTATGAATCTTTCACTGCTAGCGATAACATTGGCCTTTCTGAAGGATTTTGTGTAGACCCTCAAATTAGTTGACTGAAAATCTGATCATGTCATTGATTGTGATAGCAAGATATAGGTAAGTGTCAGACTGTGGTAGATTTGGGGCTACTTATTATGCTATTTAAAAATTAGAAACATTTTAAAATGTGAAATATTAAAACAACATTAAATTTATTTCTTGTTTCTTTTGCAGCTGAATTGAATGTTATTGCTCCAATTATCTCTAATTTCTTCCTTGCATCGTATGCATTAATCAATTTTTCAGTATTCCACGCATCGCTTGCAAAATCTCCAGGTAATTTCACATTTTAAAATTTTGTATGTACTAACGTCTTTGTTTTCATAGTAAACAAAATTTCTACTTTTCTGAAATTTGGTGTTTGTGAGTTCATTAAACTTGTTTTCTTTTATAATTATGTCAAATTCATTGCTCAAAGATCTCCTTCTAATGAAGTATACTCAATAAATCTGTTTCTTTTAAAAACATTACAAATACTGTTTCTCATATTAAAGAATTATTTCCTATTTTTAAAATGTCTTTGCTATTCGCTTACCTGATTTCAGTTCTCATAATTTTGTCATTGTGTAATAACTTCTCAAAATTTCTGCTTTTTGGTGCTGAGAATTGAGAATTGAGGCTGGTGCTTCAAGCATGATGAGCACACGTTTACCACTGAGCCTAAGTGCTAGCCCCCAGCATGGTCTTAGTGCAGTGAATTCTGTGGAACCCTAACATAAGGGGGCTTTGTCAACTGAAAAAATGCCATGGGGCTTTACAGGTTGACAATCGGGAAAAGAATGGAAAGTACAAAAGGATTTACATTTCTCAGAACAGGCCAAATAACATGTGGGGTTTACAAAAGGAAATGGAAGTATGAACACACATGCTTTAGCTTCAGTTTTACTTTCAAAATAAAATTTTGTTGAAGTAATTAAATATTTTTGGCTATTAGTGTCAAGTTTAAAGTGTGGACTTTTTAAGCATTTTATGAGTACTTTGTAATTCATAAATACTAATGGTATGAATTTCTTGAATTCACACCAAGGTTTTGTTACATGGATAGGTTACTTGAAATGCTTATGTATTCATTAGACCATGGGTGTGTATCATGGTGAAGACAGAGGGTACAGCTTCCCCACTGAGGAATAAGTCTGAAGCCTTTCCTTTTTAGGATGCCTCTTTAGTTTCCACTATCGTGGATTGATTTAAATTTTTGAAAATTTGTGTCTGAGAAGATGCAGTAATAGGAAAATATTGGTTTCACAGTCATGAAGAATTATCAAAACCAGTTGTCCAGTTGTGATCAATAACAGGTATTGACTTTACTGTTAGACATTAGGCTTATACTTAATATTTGTAGTTGTTTGAGTGTGGCGGCTATAATGAAAGCTATTTTATATATAATTATGTACCACTGTATAAAGCAGATGAAAAAAAAAATCTGAGTTTTTTTTTTGTTTGTTTGTTTTGTTTTGTTTTGGTCTATCTTATTAGGGTGGCGTCCTGCATTCAAATATTACAACATGTGGATATCCCTCATTGGAGCAATTCTTTGTTGCATAGTGATGTTTGTCATTAACTGGTGGGCTGCCTTGCTCACGTATGTGATAGTTCTTGGACTCTACATTTATGTTACATATAAAAAACCAGGTCAGTAGTCTTTTCTATTTAGTACTTCAAGCTAGAAAATGTCGACAAGTTTTGGTTACTTCTTACTCAAGCATCTTTTGTAATTTCAAAAGGTGTCACATGTAAAACTTATGATACCTTCTTTCCTAGTAAGTTTTTTTGTTGTTTTTGAAGTACATTTAATTCTAATTCCTGTAGAATTTCATTTTTACCCATGAATTAAATGACTAACCATATTTTGAGAAAAGTAATAAACATTCTGTTATATGTTTTAAAATTATACTTTGAAAGTTCCAGATTTGCAGCACTATAGTAAGTACTAGCCAAATATGTACATACATACATATCCTCTTATCATATTTAGAACTGTTGTATAGAAGTACTTAAAGTGTGCCCCTTTCTTTCAGGTCTTCAGCTACATAATGAATAATTTTTAAATGTTTTATTGTTGAGATTGTTTTGAGTTTTGTGCATGTCTGCAGTACCATCATCATGCCTTTATTAAGTTATGCCTTTTTTCAAGTGCAACGACAGACATGATAGTCTTAATGTACTTCTATAAACTAGAACTATGTGAAGTTACAGAATAGTAGTTTTTTTTAGCAGTTGACTTAAAAACATGAAAATTCTGCCTAGTTTGTTGTTAGTCTCATTGGTTTGAATTGGTTGCCATTGGTATTACTCTGCATTACCCTGTTTTCCTCAGATGTGAACTGGGGGTCCTCTACACAAGCCCTGACTTACCTGAGTGCTCTGCAGCATTCGATTCGTCTTTCTGGGGTGGAAGACCATGTGAAGAACTTCAGGTAGGAGATGAGGCACCGTGGAGGCATCCTCAGTTAATCCTTAAACCATTCATTCTTCAGTAGCATTCTATGTGGAATGGTACAAAATATTCTGTCTTGCTTGGATGGTCTTGGGAAGTTAATTATTCAAACCAAATTATACCAAAAAAAAAAAAAAAAATTGCCGTCCTTCAGAAAAAGCAATGAAAGTTTTGGAAATGTCATCTGAAGAAAAGTATTTTTCATTTTGTAGTAATTCATGTTGTACACCTATTTATAAGTGTGTTTTTTTTTTTTTAAGTTTTGTATGTGTATGGATGCTTTGCCTGCATCTATGCCTGTGCCCCACTTGCATGCTTGTCGCCTGCACAGGCCAGAAAGAGCATTAAATTCCCTGGAACTGGAGTCACAAACAGTTCTGGACTGTTGTGTGGGTTATGTTATGGGAATTGACCCATAGTGGTTTTTTGTTTGTTTGCTTGAGACGGGGTTTCACTGTTTAGCTCTGGTTGGCTGGGGACTCCCTTTGTGTAGACCAAGCTATCCTTGAACTCACAGAGATCCGCCTGCCTCTGGCACTTGAGTGTGGCAAGCACAGCCATGCCTGGCATACACTTGATACAACTATTTATATAATTTTGTTAGGACTATACTGAGTTACTCGCACTTCTCAGCAACTAACTGGAAACCACTTGCAATAGTAAGACTGTGCTTTTGGCTAAGGAGTACTTGTACTTCCCTCAGCAAATGTCTTTATCAACAGTCTATTAGTTATATCTGAAACTTCTGTAATACATTGCTAGTAATGGATTAGATCCAGTTATTACAGCACTGCTGAGAGATGCTCATCTGTATTCAGAAATATTATTTATGCATATAAAGTCTAAGAAATTTTAACCTATTTATACTTAATATTTTCATAAAATAGTATTTTTTTAATTGAAGTTGTTTAGCTGTGAAGAGGTGACTTTCTTTTGTCATAAGTCATCTCCTTTCATTGGCTTCGGGCATTCCTTATGTTGCTCTTTTGGGCACCTGCCCACCCACTGTTCCTTTCTCCAGAATGAAGTTCCCAGAGACCACAGCTTTGCAAGTAACTTAGATGTTAGCATATTTTGGGTAGTTGATATTAACTATGACAGAAAATAGAAATATTCTTTTGTGAATTGTGTAACATGAATGAAGATACAAACAAAAGTTGTAATTAATATTAAACCAGCAAAAAGCAAAAACTTGCTTGGGCTTATTATAATTGGATGAATTGTTTTTGAAGTTCTTTTTATCCTGATTTGATTCTTTGAGGTTTACTAATATATATAGCCTAACTGCTCTGTAATTTAAGGTATTCCTGCCTCTGCCCCACAAGTCCTGAGATTATTGGCATGTGTTTTAATTTTTTTATAAAAATCAAATAAACATAGAACTAAGAGGAGAGTTTATAAAATTTTGCCATGAAAGCCAATTCTTGCCTTATCCTCTGTGTCTTTATACCATAGGCAGCAGTTTCTGCCTTTGGCTGCTTTGTTAATTGTTTTGTGTTAGCTTCATAAAGACATATCTGTCTTGCTGTACATTCTCATTTTTGATTGGCCATTATTTTCCCTCTTTCTGGCTATAATGCATGGATGTACTCTTCATACACTTGAATACATTTTATGGTGTTACTTTGATTAATTCATATTTAATACTTACATTTTTATGATGTTAGATGGCGAGCACTGTGTAAGTTGCTTTTTTGTCTTACTGAAACTAGTAATTCTTTTTTTCATACTTAGTTTTTGTATTTATCCCAGCCTTCATCAAAGTTGCCAAAAGTTAAAGTTACTTGAAGTTCTCACTGTTTCCTTTTTCTTTACTCTGGACTCTTGAATTTACCTTCATCTAAAGTGCAGTGTCTTTGCACCTCGACATGAAAGTTCTGCATTGCCAGTCAAGTCCTTAACGTAGGTTAATGCGGCTTTGCCATTCTTCAGGGAATTTAAGTCATCTTAAAGGCTTTCTTTTTGATCTGATTAGATTTCTCAGAAAGGAATATTTTAAGCTGTTTGTATGTCCTTGTTACCAGAGTTCTGTAGCCAGGTAGGGAAGGAGGTGGAGGTTTCAGAGTTTTTCCCATAAACAACCTTCTGAATCCTCTATTTTAGATTGCCGACTTCTGCCCTTAGCTATTTTCAGTGTCTTCTAGACCACAGAGGCCTGGTAAACAAGTAGCCATAGTGATGGGAATGACTTGGCTCTGCCTGTTTGCTTCTTATGTAGCCTGAGCCGTGTTCTTGATCCTGGTGTCTTGAACACAGCATCACTGCTGTTTGCAGGTGTGTGGACTCTGAGGCCCAGATGCTGCCCTTGTGGTACAGGGTCAGCAGCCTCATAGCACTCACCCCATTTGTGCAGTGTTTCCTGATGCTCAGCCCCTTCACTCTGCTGCTTGCAGATTGCTTTCGGTATTTTAGTGCTTGTTCTTCTCAAGTGTTTGTCATGGATTTGGTGGTTCTCGGACTTTCACAGAATTATATTGTTTAGAAGAGAATCTAATTTACCCTAACAAGAAACCTTTTTAAAGCAATAATTAAACATAGAAGGCATTGGTAGATGTTCAGACATGGATAGTTCATAGCAGGGAGGCTGATTTGGTCATTTGGCACCACTATTCCTTGTGTACTGCCATCTTACTGTTCACTAAAAGATGTGTTTTGTCTTTGTGATCAAAACCATCACTACACCCATGATCTGTCTTCCAGGAAAATATGGGGAACAACTCGCTTTTAAGTAGCATGGTCTAAAAAGGAGCCTTGTGGGTTGTAAGATGCTCACAGATACTTTAATCTAGGAAGATGGAGAGGATGTTCTATAAGTTAATATTTTTAAAAGTCTTTGTTAATATTTTTATTATTTTAGAGACTAGTCTAAAAGTGTTTAAGTTAGAATTAAAGAAATGTTTAAAGATTTACTTAGTTTTATTTTTTGCATATGTGTGTCCTAGTCCACATGTATGTCTGTGAATTCAAAGAGAGCGTCAGATCCTCTAAAATGAGGTGGCTGTTGTCACGTGGATGCTGGAAACCCTGCCCTGGTTCTCTGCAAACACAGAAAGTGCATCTCTCCAGAATCCAGTTGGCTCTTTGCTTTGGTTGAATTATAGATGTTACTAATTTAATCTGTTTTGGTGGATAAAATGTATACCTGGATATTATATAAACAAGATTGATTTCCTCCTCTAGCTAGTGAAAATCAATTTTTATTTTTCAAAATAAGGTTTCTCTCTATACTTCTGGCTATCTTGGAATTCGATATGTAGCTCATGTTGACCTCAAACTTAGAGATCTGCCTCCCTTTCACTCCCATGTGCTGGGATTAAAGTCATGTATCACTGTAGCCAACCGAAAATCGGTAATTTAAAACATTTAAATTTGTGTTGTCTTATGTTTACAGAGATACACTCATCATTAACTAAAATTAAAAGATTTTAGTCTAGTAGAACTTGTTGTTCAAACTGCTGTATTTGATTTTATTTACATCATAGCAGTCTTCAGGGAGCTGGGTTAGATTGGGGTTGATAGGTGAGATGGAACTCACTTGTCTATACTATGTGTTAGTTGTGCTCAGCAAGTTTTGCAGGGTTTAGTAAATAACTAATAGAACAGCTATGACCTTTGAAGATAAAAAATTGTTATGTCATTTTTAAACAAGGTGGTAATTTCTGGAGCATTCCTAGAAAATAATTGTGTAGAATTGCCTGTTGTTTGAGAGGGTCATCTGGTATGAGATTTGTTACAAGGTTTTGTGTTTTAAATATTTGGTGTTATTTATGTGTCTGTGGGTGCCCACGACAGCCAGCTGGCGTTTGAAACAGTCTTGCCCTGCTTGACATGGCTGCTGAGAACTGAACTTGGGTCCTTTGGAAAAGCCACAAGCACTGATGACAACGGCTGAGCCATCTCTATAGCCCCATGTAGACTGCAGCATCTTCTTAAATTACTTCTGTAGCTTTGTTCATAGAGAAACAACATACAAATTTCAAACTGTTCTAATTGATTTTTTTTTTTTTTTTTTTGTCTTAAATTAGGCCACAGTGCCTTGTTATGACGGGTTCTCCAAATTCACGCCCTGCTTTACTTCATCTTGTTCATGACTTCACGAAAAATGTTGGTTTGATGATCTGTGGCCATGTGCATATGGTATGTATGAGTCACTTTTGCTTTCTATAGTGAGACATTGCTTCTTCACTCATCAAAGGGACTTGTTGCTGGAGGTTCTTTCCTGTCAGCCTGGTCCTGAAGTTGCCTCAACACATGGAGACACTATATTAAGTGTTGAAACTGTTGGCCTGTGGCTAGGGCTTCTTATTGGCTAGCTCTGTCTTAATTATTAACCTGTTTCTATAAATCTGTGTATTTCCACATGGTCTTGGCTTACTGCCCGGCCTGTTACTTCTTTGCTGGCTACATGACGTCTCTTCTCCATCTCTCTCTGCCTACCATTTCCCGGAATCCTCCCCTCTCCTAGTCCTGCCTAACTTCCTGCCTCTATTGGCCTAATAATATATACAGAAGGACACCCCACCCACCACACCACCAGGGATTGTAAGTTACAGACTTTATGGATTGGAAATCATTTAAGAAAATTTGTAGGATTTTTTTTTTTGAGATGTTTTCCTTCAACATGTTCCTTTAAACAGTCACAAAGTAACATTTTTAAAAAGATTTATATATTTTGAACTGTTGTGATTTTAACCAGGAGTAAGAAAATTATCTAAAAAGTAATAATAATAAGTTTTCACCTAAAAAGTAATGCTTTAAAAAAATTTTTTTTTTTTTTTGGATCTTGAAAATAGTTGTGAAATGATGCCTCACCTGTTTGCATAAGAAACTGGCTCTTTTGTGTGTGTGTGTATATGTGTGTGTGTGTGTGTGTGTGTGTGTGTGTGTGTGTGTGTGTGTGTCATCCCTTGGCCAGCCATGTTAAGGTGAAGCTGAAAATCTCCTTCACTGCTGTTTGCTGTTGGAAACTCATTGAAGTGTACAGCAAACTTGGTACTTTCTGTGAAGAGCACATGGCCACAGAGGTAGCTCTTATGCTCTGGAATTTTGTGGCCCATATCAGTGGGAATGACAGAGTTTTCCCATGATGTAAGGTGTCTTGATCCACAGCAGTGTGTGTCTGCTATTGAGTAGATGGCATTCCTGTTATAGATCAAAGAGAATTTTGGAGAGGGGAAGAAGTGTGTTGGAGATGCACCATGGATGCCAGTCTGTGGTTTCTCAACTTGGTTACTGTAAAAAGGAGAGAGAAAGATATTCCTAGATGATAACTACTGTGCCTCAGCAGCTGGGATCCAAAAGAGCTAGCAGAACTGGAAAACTTTTCATTCTCTATAAAAAAGATGATGTCTGCCAGTGTGTTGTCAGTAAGCCCTTAAAGAAGGTAGGAAGCCAAGGACCAAAGCAGCCAAGATCAATATCACGTTACTCCATGCATCCTGTAAGACAAATGCCAATGCATTGCTTTTGAAGAAACAATATGATAAGAAAACGAGGAGACTGCAGAATATGCTAAACATTTGGCCAAGAGGGTGAAGGGAAGCCAACAAAAAATGCCAGGAGCAGATTGCCAAGAGATGTAGGTTGTCCTCACTGAGAATTTCCACTTCTGAATTTGAGTCCAGTTAAAAATAAGTCTTTTAAGAGTAACAGATAGATGATAGGACTTGGTGGATAAGAAAAGAAAAACTAGGGTGTCATATTTGTTTTTTTTTCCTCAAACTCTGGTCCATTATTTAGATGCCAGAATGTGTGTTGTGCGTTGTATTGCAACTCCTGTGACAGTTTTTGTGTACAGTTGTTTGTGTACTGTTGTTACAGCAAAGGCCACAATTATCTTTGTGCACACACACAGGTTTATGTGTGGAGGGCTTGTTGTCACCATTGGTCCCACTTAGGGTATATGGGGTATTCCAGTTTGTCTCTAGCCTGATCTCTTGAAGTCAGTGCCTTGTGCAGAATATGCTAGGAGAAAAGTGAATTCCATTCTTAGGAAAGATTATGTTTTTCTCTATATACTTATTATTTTCATAACATTTATTTTTATTGTATGTGCCTTGATGTTTTGCCTGTATGTATATCTGTGTAAAGATGCTGGATCCCCTACTACTACAGACAGTTGTGAACTGCCACATGGGTCAGTGCTGAGAATGAACCCCGGGTCCTCTGGAAGAACAGCCAGTGCTCTTAAGCACTGAGCCCTCTCTACATCCCCCGACATACTTATTTTTAAGATAAATGCTTTTAAATACTTTCAAAATTTTGTTTTGCAAATTTGTGCAATGTTACATAAAAGTATCAAAGTGGAATTTTGAGCTAGCAAAGCTCATTTCTTCATCTTATAGCAGAAATATATGCTTACTGATTTTACTGATATACTCAAGTTAGTGTGATTTAATAATCCAGACACTTAGACCAAACAGAAAGCAAACTAGGAAACTTTCTGTAGAGAAACAGAAGGCTTTATTTTATGTTGTGTAATCTTTTTTCCATTTGCAGTAATTGCAAATTTCTCTCATTAATTTAGGATTGAAATACTTTGTTTTACAAGCTTTTTTCCCTCCTCAGGCACCAGCAGTGCTCTGCCTTTTTGTGTAATTTTAAGTATTAGAGAGGATTCTCTTGGAGAGAATGAAAGACTGTTATTTCACTTCTCCCCTTCTCCCACCTTGACATTAAGCACATTCTTTCAAACCAATCAATGTAAGAGGATACCTTTTCTAGAGGGATTGTGTTTCAAATAAAAATTTTGGTAATATTTTATTTTAAAGGGCCCTCGAAGACAAGCTATGAAAGAGATGTCCATTGATCAAGCCAAATATCAGCGATGGCTCATTAAAAACAAAATGAAGGCTTTCTATGCTCCGGTTCATGCCGATGACTTGAGAGAAGGTGCACAGTATTTGATGCAGGTGAGGAGTCTTTCACATAACTGCATTTGGTTAAAACTTTTATGATTTCTATTTAATTACTCATGCTAATATAAATGCATATCATTTTTAATACCTTTAAGGATACTATTTTTTTTTGTAATTTAGAAATCTACAGAAATTTTGTGTTGTTATGTGACACAAAAAAATCCTATGAAAATTATCTTAGCCTGTTAATCTCTTTGTTAGATATTTCTCACTTCCTCTACCCACTAGGTTTGTTTTTAAAATGTTGAGTCATAGCCATCTTTATTTTGGTTTTTCAAAAATTCTTGGCTTTTGTATTTCTATTTATTTGCTAGTTCTAAGTTTAGACTTTATGTATTTTATAGGCACCACAATAGGAAATTTGGAATCAGTCCCAGGTTTAAATGTTAGTGCTGTTGCTTTCTTATTTTGGATTTTAGACCAAATTATTTACTTCTGAACTCTGTTCTTACTGTCCTTAAGATCATAGGGAGATATAAATTGAGACAGTGTTTACCAACTTTATCTTAAAAAAAAAAAAGAAAAAAAAAAAAAAAGAAACAGACAAACATTAAAAGTAAAAACAGCTCTAACTGGAACTGTCCATTACAGGTGAGGTGAGGCTCCCAGCACTGTCCTGAGCCCATCTTGTTGCATGCCTCCTAGAACTTAGTTAGGAATAATCCTCACAATCTTTAGGAAGGACAAGTAGTGAGTAGGTTGCTAAGTAATTATGACACTGTTATATGGAAATTGCTATAAATCAGTGAAGGCGGAAAATGGAATAGAGGCCACTCACAGAAAATTTACTGTGTGACAGAGAAGCAGCTTTCAAATTTACTGTGTGACAGAGAAGCGGCTTTGAGAAGGTTGTCTGTAATAATAGCTGTCTATGAAAAAGGAATGAAATAAATCCTTATGAAGAAGACTATGCAAAAGCCATTTTGAAGCAAGGTTTGTATAAACCCATCTAATCTCAGTGCTTGGGAGGCTGAGGACTGTCATTGAAGAACAGCCTGGGACACAGGGTTAGGACAGGTCTACCATGGCTATGAAACAGAGAGCCAGGTGCGGTGGTGCACAGCTGCAGGCTTGGCACTTTGGAGGCTGGGGTTATCCCATGCTGTTGGCCAGCTTGGTCTATGCAGTGAGCTTCAGGCCAGCCAGGACTACATAGTGTGACCTTGTCTGAAGTGAAAATTGAAATAAAACCATTACTTTTTAAGATGGATTAAAAGTCTAGAGATAAAATGCAACTTTTAAAAGTTGGGAGACTATATAAAACATTCAGAAAGTAATTTCCTAAATGAAGCCCAGAAAATAGGGCTGTGAAAAGTGTCAGTAATCTTTTAAAAGTTTAAAGCCTTGATATTTTAAATGAAACATAAACATAAAGGAAAGCCCCAGAACATGGGAACATAATAATCCTGAAGTATAAACAGTAAAAGAGTGGTGTAGTAGTGTAAGTCAGTAAATGAGAGCAGGGAAAGAGCGGAAGATAGGAATGAAAGAGGAAAGCTAGGCAACAGGAATAAATGAAAAGCAATTCTGTACCTGTATTGGCCAGGATCACTTATGCCAGGTAAAGAGAAGTTGTACATTTTCAAACTGCTGTGTAATTCATGTTGTTATCACTATTGAGCAAGAGCCTGGCTTCATTCATACACCTCTACCCATGTAGAGAAGACTGCAGTTTTAAGTTCCAGGCACAAGAACCCCTTTGAATGGTTGGTCAGGGCTGTCTAAGCAACTTCCAAAGCAGAGTATTGATGGAGCCTTTGGTTGTCTGTCAGGGACTGAGGGTGGGCCTTTATTGCTGATGACACCATACACTTAGAATGTGGGACTTAGATGATTTGATTTGGATCTGACCCAGAAGCCTCTCCTGTTGTCTAGCTTCCATGGTTTGAGAAAACACCATGTGTAAGATGCTAAGGGAGGAAACCTATAAAATATTCAACACAACAGCATCTATGAAATGTGACAATTTACTAGCATGACAAGATTTGCATAAGTGGCACTCACATGTGGGAGGCAACCAACAGCTGTCTAATTAGATGTAAAGTCTACTAGTACATCAGGAGGGAAATTGTGCCTGGTATGGAAACCTAGCCAGCTTATTCGGGCTAAGGAGTCCATGGACCTTAGAAAAGAATTCATCGTTGCCAATTGGCAACATCATTTTTAGTAGCTAAATACAATTATAATTCATTTCAATGAATGTCAGATAATTAAAATGTGAAGTGTATCATTCTAGAATTCTGCACATAGATGAGAAGAACTACACATATCCATGTGGGTAAATTTCAGTTTTAAAAACAGCTACTCTTAAAAAGTACATGAAAAAATAGAGGTTCAGTTTTGTAAATTCCAAAAATTTTGTCTGGATGTGTTCCTATAGGATAGAATTGCTAGTATGATCACATGAAGAATTGCTAATAGATGTGATCAAGTGAAGATACATGCAGTGTTTCATGCATATTTCTATTGTCTATCTGAATTGTGCTTACTGCTTTGTGCTTTCTAACTTTTTGTAGCTTGTAATATCTCAGTAGTTCAGGTGTCAATACTATGCCTGGTTATGATATTGTTTGTAATGAGTTAATCCTGCCGGCTTTTGTAAAACTCACAGAAGCGGGTTTCTCCTTTCCTCTCACAGTGAAACAGGTTTGTGGTAAGGCCCAAGAGTAACCCTTTGTCCTAGTGGTGCCTATAATGCTACTGCCACTAGGCCCTCTCAGGAACTGCATTGCCTCAGAAGCCAGAGAACCAGTGCCCTAGAAAGTCTGTGTAGTGTACAGACTTGTAATCTGCAAGACTTCACAATAATCTAGTATTTGTCACCAACCAAAATGCCTGCATGGATGATGAGAGTTTCTCAGCTTGAGAGGAGCACAGGAAAAGCACAGCTGTGCCCACCAGCTACTGGAGCACTTTACCTCTGGAAGGGGGCGGAGCTAACTGATAGCATTTCCACTGAAGTGCTGCTGGCTTCTTTTACAGAGTTAGTAACTCACTGCACATCACTGGAAGGACTTTGTTTTCCCTTTTCCTTGTGGGAACCTGTCACATAAGTAATAGTTTTATTATTATTTTTTTTTAATCCTTGTCAGAAAGTACTAAGTACATGTTTTCTTCACTGCCTTGTATTCTAGCAATGTGGTTTTAAATAGTTGATTTCTGTCAGTAGAAATTACAGTTTAAACTTCTGATTTCTCTTCTTCCTTTCTGTCTAGCTAGTCTTGGCCATCAGATTTATCATTAAACCAGCATTGAGATACCAGCCTTCATTACAGAATGTAATCATTACTTTGCTAATGAGAACATAAATACTGAGACGTTAGCATGGTTCATTTCTTCATTTACGTTTTGGGTTTTCTTGAAAAGTCAGTAGACATCTGATTCTCAAACCATTTTTAAACTTTTATTTTTATAGCAAGATGATAATTGTTCTAAATGAGCATCCAAGTTCTATCACGATAGCTCTTTAGATCAGTTGCTTTCTTAGAATTTCAGCCTAGAATTATCTTGTGTGGCAACTGCTAAATGTTCTTAGACTTCACACTGGTCATGTGCCGAAACAGTGTGGCAATGGTAGTGGCTGTTATATCACTCTGGCTGTCCTGGGCCTCATTGTGCTGACCCAGCTATCCTTGAATCATAGTGTATGGTCCACTTGTGTCTGTTATCCTGTGCTGAGATTACAGTTTTAATCTGGCAAACAGTGTTTTTAAAACTTTTTTGTTGTTGTTCTACAACTCATAAAACAAAGAATTTAGGAATTGTTAATAAAATTATTTAAAATGTGTTTATATCTAGTTCTGTAGTTAGGCTGTAAGAATAGATTGTGCCATGACGTATTAATTCATGATAAAGTAAGACCAGCACCATTAGGTGAACCTTTCAACACTAACCACCTGGAGTGTGTATTTAAAATCATATACTTACCTCTTCTGTGATTTTTAGTTTAATACATTTCTGTTGGTATTATATAATACTTGGAAACATTTTTCTTTTCTTTCTTTCTTTTTTTAACCAATAGTGGAATACAAAATGAAAAGCCATATAGCCTGTTCTTTTATTACAGTTCTGATGACATGTATGAAGTGATAGAGTGAATGAGTTTAATGTCACCAAGTTCTGGCACAAGATGCATGGAGAGTGGTGCTGAAGATCTGAAGTTAGCGCTGCAGAAAGGAAGGCTTGAGGGAAGCATCAGGTGACTGCAGTGTGATGTACTGCTTTCAATGATAGAATCAAACACTAATGAGGTGTTTCCTGGAAAAGATAATTTTTTAGTAGTAAACTATTTTCCTAAATACATACTGCTTCATGGAAACTGGAAATAATATCTCTTTTGTAATAGCTACACTGAGTAAAGGATGTAAGGTTGAAAGAGATACATGTGGAAAAAAAAAAAAAAAAAAAAAAGAGTAATCCTAGGGAGAGTTACTGTAACAATGCCATTGAAAGCCTAGGGACATAAAGCTTTGATAAACTGGAACTCAGTGGTAGCATGCTTTCCTAGTTTGTGTCAGACTGTGAACTTAATCCCTAGCACAAAAACAAATAAACCATTTTAATTATAACAGCATTGTGACATGATAGGATCCTCCCCCCACCCCCCAAGAACATGGCCTTGATAGCATTTTGTACCATCAACAACTTACTGGCTGTTTTGTTACTTGACTCTGTTACAAACACCTGTCTACATGAAGATGAAAATCCTTGGTTCTGTTCAACACTCTTGACTCAGCCTCTACCCTGCCTAATAAAACCAAAAAAATGTGTGGGATTTCTGTGGATTACCACCAAGCAAGTAGTTTTGCTTTTGAAAGAAGGTGTTCTTATTGTCCCTTTAAGGAAAGGGTGTTTTACATACTGAGTAAAACCTTGATCTCTTAAGATAGAAGTTTGTACATGAGAGTGATGAATGTCAGCTTGCATGGTAGCTTACTTCCTGCTCCTCATTAAAGAAATGCTTAGGGCAGTGGCACAGGGCCAGGCCTTTGATAAATATTCGAATTCATTTCATGTTTTACAAAAAAAAAAAAAAAAACCAAAACCATAGACAAAAACAGATTAGAATGTATCTCCAACATAGATGAGGGCTAAAACCATAAAACTTAAAGAAAACAGCTGAATTTTCCATGACCTTGGACCTGACTCTCATCTCAGTAATGACAGACACCAAAATCATGAACCTTAAAACAGAAATAAATTGGATATTTCCAGAATTAAGATGTTTTTAACAGAGGACTTTGTAAAGAAAGTAAAACAACTTACTGAATGGGAGAATATTTTAGTCAGTATGATAAAGGAGTAACTTAGTAACTGTTGGGATGAGATACCATGAGCAAGCTAACTTACAGAAGTAACAGTTTATTGTGGGTTATAGTTCAGAGGGTGAGTCCATGACCATCATCGTCTCAGTGAGCATGACAGCAGGCAGATAGGAGATGGAACCAGAGCCAAAAGCTTATATGCTGACCCATGAGCCCAAGGCAGAGGTAGAGAGAGCTTCTGAAACCTTGAAACCCACCCCCAGTCACACACCTCACCAAATCCACATATCCTAATCCTCGCCAAACAGTTCACTAATTGGGGACAAAATGTTTATATATATGAACCAATGGAGGCCATTCTCGTTCAAACCACCACAGGTTTTGATATATATATATATATATACATATATATATATATATCATGTATTTTAAAACTTCTAAAAATAATAACAAAAACTACAGAATTGTTACAGTGGGTAAAATAAAAATGTGTGTGTGTGTGTTATTCTAAAAATTAAGTTATTGTCCCTCAAAAAAGTAAACTTAAAATGACCTTATGCCTGTCAGTTAAATTGCGTTCTTTGACATTCATCCCTGACAACCTGAAGGAACAGAGTTAATTTTTCTTATGCATATACTTGCCACTGCACCATCATGCACACTACTCAAAAGGTGCAGACTATAAAGAGCCACGGTGTTCGTCATCAAATAAATGTGTAAACAGGTGTGACGCATGGGTTTAAGTACAATGAAATACCATTTATCTGTGGAAAGGAATAAAGTTGTACTCGTTTTTTAATTAACCTAGAGGACAGCCTGCTAAGTGAAGCAAGCTAAACACCAAAGTTCTGCGATTTTGTTCATGAAGTAATCAAGTAGAAGTATATTAAATGTTCCAAGGGGCCACAAGGAAGAGCATATGAGTAGCTATTACATGGCAGTTGTAGGATTTCTGATAGGGGTGATGAAAATGTTTTAGAAATAGTGGTATATTATGTGGCAGTATTATGGACAAAGTAAATACCACTTAACATGATAAAGTTGTTAACTTTTTACCATGATTCATCTACATGTATGTTTGTATGTATGTGTTCATATGTGTGGACTTGTATGTCTAGGCCAGAGATCAACCTCAGATGTCATTCTTGTGGACATCATGCAACCTCTTGTTTTGTTGCTGTTTTGAGACAGGGTCTTTGACTCTTTACCTGGAACCAGCCAGTTTGTCTAGCTTGGCTAGCCAGTGAGCCTGAGGTCTGCCTGTCTCTATCTCTCTATCAATATATTACAAGTGTGTGCCACAAGGCCTGGGTTTTTTACATGGGTTCTAGGATTCATGCAAACTATCTCCTCAATGTTTATCACAGTTTTTAAAAAATCATACCCTCCTCCCCAAACTTAGGTGTTATTGTAGTCCCAGGGTATGATTTCTCAGTGTACTTAAATAAAACAAAATCTAAGAAAAGAGATTGGGGGGGGGGTGCTGGGCTTTGAGGGGTAATTGTTAATAATGTTGAATTGCAGTTTTTTGTGTTTGTGTGTCTGTCTGTGTGATGTGTGTTTTAAGACAGAATCTTCCTATCTCTGATATTACGTAGCTCGTGACACTTTCTATATGTAGACAGGCTGGCTTCAACTCTGGCAGTCCTGGCTTTGTCTCCTGAGTGCTGGGATTACGGGTATGCACCACTATGCTTGGCTTGTGTTGTAGCTCTTGGTGAGATTGTAGAATATTTGAACTATTGTGGGAAGGAACCAAACAGCTTTCCAAAAGAACATTTGCATGATTTAAAGAATTCAGTTTCTTGGTGGTGGAATTTAGAACTCCAGACATTAAACTCACAACTAGGCGTTAGTGATTATTACCAAAATATGTTATAGAGGTAGAGGATATAACTGTGTTGTGTTTTTCTCTTTTAATTAAATATGTTCTTTTGGTTAGTAAAAGTACAAAATTTTTTATGTCATTAATATATAAAAATGAATTTAGTAGTTTTCAAGTGTTCCATTGTAACATCTGTTTTTGTGTTATGTTTAGTATGATTAAATTGAAGTCATTTTCATATGTATAATTTGCCAAAAAAAAACTGTCAATATAGAAATGCTTTATTTCTTAAAACATTGCTTTGTTAAATATTCTGTATTTGAAGTTGTATTTATATATTTTAGGCTGCTGGTCTTGGTCGTATGAAACCAAACACGCTTGTCCTTGGATTTAAGAAAGACTGGTTACAAGCAGATATGAGGGATGTGGATATGTATATAAACTTATTTCAGTAAGTATGCATGAAATAATATGTTAAGTACTTGGCAGAAAAATGCTAATTTTGAAAGCATTCTCATTTACCTTTACCTTGCTTTTTTGTTTATTTTGTTTTTTTTTTTTTTAATGTAGTCTTTTCTTAATAGGTACATGAAAATGAAAAAGAACCCCATGAACTGGCTGGGTTTTAAAATACCGATCTCTCTCTTTTTTACACAAAATATATGTACAAGTACTTATGTATTTGAACATCTACAGAATACCTATGTATTGTTGACCTTTCCTTTTTTTTTTTTTATTCTTACTAATTTTTTTAATAATTTCAGCATATCTGGGACATGTTCACTCCCTTAAACTCTTTCCTTTCCTACCATCTTTTCCCTTTCAACTTTAAGATTACTTTTTTTTTTTCTTTTCCTTTTCCCATTGCTTCTAATTTTTGTTGCCCAGCCAGTGTGTGGTCAGCCTACCAGGAATTGCATTAAAAAATACTGACTTGCTCTCCGAGCTGCTACCAAATGCCTGTAGCTCCTCAGCTAATGGTAGGAGTCTAAGTCCACTGTCCTCCTCTGTCTTGGAATTTCGTCTGGCTGGAGGTAACACAGTGTGTTACCTCACTGTGAGTTCATATGTGCGTCTTTCTTGTTTCACCTAGAAAAATGTTCCTTGAAGTTAACTCTTGCAATCTTTGACCCTCTCCTTGGCGAAGATTTCTGAGCCTGGGGGTAAAGGGTGAGATATGAATGGCTGACTTAGGGTTAAACATTCCAGTTTTTTCTGTACGTTCACCAATTCTGCTAATTGCCATCTGTTGACAGAGAGGCTTCTGATGTGGGTTTAAAAGATGCTGTACTCTATATGTACAGCAATAAGTCATAGGAAGTAGTTTTAATACTCAGTTCTCTGTCTATTTAACAGACTAATATTGGGTTCTTCCCTGGGGCACCTATGATCTATCAAGCCACAGGTTGCTTAGTCCTTTTAATGGTGCCAGGTATGAGTTCTGCCTCACAGACAGTACCTTGAGTCCAGTCAGAAAGTGGTTGGTTGGCCCCATAACATTTGTGCCACTCTTGCTCCAGTCCAGCCATTGTTGTAGCCTGTAAGGTTTATAGCTGGGTGAGATTGAGGCTTGCTTTTCTCTCTAGCACTGGGCATAGAACCTTCTAGCACCATGTACACTGACCAGGAAGGGCAAAGCTTACAGGTAAATACCCGCTTGATGACTCCATGTTCTGTGATTTAAGTATGTGGTGTTTCCAGTAATAGGTTTTTAAGATTAGTTGGAGGTCTATGTGACCCCATTGGCCAACAACTCAAAACATAGTAACCCATTCTATTTTTATTTGTTAGAATGGGGTATCTATTTGGGATATGCCCCCCATCATACCTCTTTATATATGTCTATGTATTTTATGAAACTTCTACAGTAATAGGTTTCTAAATGTTTTTTAAAGGACTTTACAAAGAGTTATCCCTCCCTCTCCATATTCCCTCCTCTACCCTGCCTCTTCCACCCCAGTTTAATCTTACTTCATTGTTCCCCTTTAATACTTTATCCTACTCTGCTCTGTTTCCACATTCTTGAAGACCACTTCTTCCCTGTTCCCCCTTAATAAATTTCTGACCTTTGTAGGTATTATAGATGGAACACATGTATCTGAATATTCAAAGGTAACATAATTAAAGGAAACATAAAATATTTATCTTCCTGGACTCAGATTACCTTATTCAGTTGCATATTTCCAACTCCCATCAGATTACCTGTGAATTTCATAATCTCATTTTTCTTAACAGCTGAGCAATCTTTCATAGATGTGTTGCATGTGAACAGGAGTAGGTGTGTGTGTAGACCCTGCTTCCTGGGTAGGCCTCTTCCTGTGCTTTTGCTGTGACAGTCAGATATCAGAGTGTCGCTTTGTGAGGTCTTCGTTATGTCCTACATAACGAAGCTGCAGAGAGTTGATTTTGTCCTCATGCTGGTTTCTGGTTCTTCCCTTGAGTTACTCTCATGTTTGTGGTTACACACATTTGTTTGTCTTTTCCACTTGACATGTTTTCTGAGCTTACGGGGTTCTCATTTCCTCTGTATTGGTTGTTTATCGTTCAGCTTAGCTTTGTTCACGTCACTTTAACTACCTTCTTACAGCTTGTCTAGTGGGTTCTTTTTTATTCTTTTCTATTTTTGCCTTTCTGGTTCATAGACTTTTGTGCATATATTTACTCTTACCAATGCTTTGTAGAACTGAATTATTTAACAAAAATATTTTTTGTTTTTGTCAGATACACTTTTTAAAACTTGAAAAGTACTTTGTTTTCCTAGTATTATGAAATTTGCTCAACAAATTTAATTTACACTAACAATTCACACTGTGCCATTATTATTGTACACTATTAACTTGCATATAAACAGTTGACTTTAAAAACAAACATCAGTGAGAAAATCTTGTCTTTAGCAAAGTGGTTCTAAGAAGGAATTCACATCCTATTGTTCTGTGACATTGATGGGGTTACCTGGAACTCACTGGAGTTATCTCCTTTCTGGAATTCCTGCTGCATGTATAATTTCTGGGGTTTTTTGTTTGTTTGTTTGTTTGTTTGAAAAGTCTTTCTGGAAATGATCAGAGATCATAGCTGCTCTTTGAGAAAGTTCAAGTTGATTAGGAATGCAAGCAGGTAACAAGAAGAACCCTTAAGTTGTTAGGTGATTTCAGCAAGGTTACAGTGTGTGGAGCTTGTGCCTACTGACCATCTGGGGATCAGACTCTCACTGTAGCTGTCTAGTTCTGTGTTTTGTATGTGTGGTGCCTTAGAAAAGAAAGACAGCAGAAATAAAGATTAAATTGTAAAGTCTATATGATCTGTGGTGGGCTATGCTGTTTTCTCTCAAGGCTCATCTCTCACTGACTATTTTCAAGCATATTAAGGAAAACAGACATTTAGAGCTAAAAATCATTTTAAGAGACTCGTGAGTCCTTTCAATCTTTACAGAACATAAACAATTTTGTGACACTTCCTTTCTCCATTGTAGTGATGCTTTTGACATACAATATGGAGTTGTGGTCATCCGCCTAAAGGAAGGACTGGACATATCACACCTCCAAGGACAAGGTGAGTGCTCCTCACAGAAGATTCTCCTCTAAAAGTATGAGTTACTGTGTTAGAAAAGGGCCTAATTGTTACAAGCCCTTTCCTGACTTTCATGATTGCCATCTTCTTCATGACACATGCCTACCATCTTAGGATCAGACATGCTTGCCAAGCCATCAATGTCTGCGTCTTAAAGGATGGCTAGTTATTATTAATGGAGAAGATAAAATTTAGTATAAACCATAGCCTTAAGAAAGGCAGACATTAGTTATGATTATCAATTGGACAACCAAATTTGTTTTAAAAAATAGGATGAGAAAAATATTTAAACCACTACTAAAATACTTAAATCACTACATAGGCTGTAAGTTAAATAATACAGTGTATACATTTAAAGTATTTTTAAAGTGTTGGTTAAGACCCAATTTAAGGTATAACTTTCTTGCCGATTTTATGAAAATGGAAATTTCCATAACCTTCAAAAATGTTTGCTAATTCAAAAATACTGAATATCTACCATTTTCCCTTATTGGTTAATTAATGAACTCATGAGATTAGCTGAGTTTAACTAGATAAGAAGCATATAAAAACTTACAATCAGTTCATGAATTTAGACTCTCTAACTTCACACTCTCTTTTAAGAGTGGTCTGCAACTTTGAAGGAATACTTTGAGGTCTCTATGAAATAAGCAAGTGTAGCTTGCTGAAAAGGCACTTTCCTTTTCTGGAAGGAACCTGGCAGAACCTCATTTGAAGTCTTCTGTCAGTGACTATGTTTAGAGAACCTGACTCATACCCATTTACACTGCATAATTAGCGGTGCTCGGCCACACAAAAGAATAATGTATTATTCAGTTCTGTTATTTACTGGGGTTTGAGTCTGACTGAAACATTAAAAAAGTATTATGTATTTGATTGTTATAAAGTGCTTTTTTAAGGCCTTGCCTATTGCTAAGATCTGGTCTTGGGCCCAGGTGGATATTTTCTAAATCTTCCAGCCTTTTCTTGTAATTTGTACCCTGGGCAAGTTTGGTGGCTTCTGGGCCTGCTTGTCTGTTAATGCCTAGTGAGGTACCTCATAGGACTGTCCTTTAGCAGTAAAAAGGAAAACCTTTTTAACTTCTTAGTTTAGTGGTGGAACTTGAATCCCATAGCTTCTATTGTGTCTCTCCATCCATACAAATTAGTGGTGAGGATTGTTGGCATATTTATTGATTTTCTGTTGTATTGTCTTTATATATGTTTTATAGTTAAAGTTCAATATTTACTGAGTATTTGCCAAAATTTGAAAATGCTTTAAGAAGAATTGGTACCTTCCCTGGACTTGTTAAGAAAAGGCTGTGCCTATGATATTGTGACTTTAGTATGGAATCATTTTCCAGGGTACTTTTCTTTATATTGAAACTGCCTTTGAGAGTAGAGTTTCTTGACAGCCTACATATCTTTTTGTCTACTGTATTCTATTTTTATGCCATTTTTTTCATTCATTACTTACTTCTCAGAACCCACTAGTGGCTGACATATTTACATGGACAGTTATTTTAAGCAACTGTAGTTGTTTCTTAAGAAATCACTTATCACACTATTTCACAAGACATACTCGTTACCTTTTTACTACTAAACCATGACACTTTGAATAGTTAAAATATGATTTTGGATAGTGTTTTAAATACTTTCATATCTACAGAAGAATTATTATCTTCACAAGAAAAATCACCTGGTACCAAGGATGTGGTGGTAAATGTGGACTACAGTAAAAAGTCAGATCAAGATACTTGCAAATCATCTGGTGATAAATCCATTACGCAGAAAGGTAATTTTCATTCAAACAAGATTTTATTAATAGTTTGTTTTAATTTGGAGGGGATTGGCTTTTGCGTATAATATACATTACAAAGTCCTTTTTCTTAAGCTAGACATGGTTTGCACTTTTAAAGTGTTTTCTTTCCTTAAAACAGAAGCCATGCCAATTAATTTGTTACTAACATAGTTTTAAGTAATTTGCTTTAAAATATTTTGTTTGAAGTTGGGAAGAACATGTACTTCATGAGGCTTACAGATAATTTCATCCACAAACTTGTGTGTCATGTTTTAAGAAGAGGGATGACTTCCAAATCTTACTCTCCCACCCTCACTCTCCAACCTCTGCTCAGACTTGTATCTCCATCTGTCCTGTTCCAACTGATAACGCAACAAGAAAGAAATCTGCACTGTAAATCATCAAGCCATAGTGTACTTTTGATTTCTCTAAGACAGCTACCATCATTTTTATAAAATTGATAGCCTTGGACAAACCATGTCTCTGCACAATTTATCTTTTAGATTATTTGAAAGCATTAATGTTGCCTTTTATTCTTTTCTTTCCTGTGTAACTTGCATAGTGTAAGAGTGTAGCTTGCATGCGTTTCTCCTTTCAGTCCTTGGTGGCTTTATTGTTATTTGTGTGTGTGTGTGTTGTCTATACTTCATAAGCTCATTCTGTTCATTGTTTTTGCATTTATTTTAATTTACATGTACATGTTTTCACCCTTCCCCCATTTTCTTTCCTGAAACACAGAGCCTTTCTATATAGTCCATGAGGAATCCCTGGTGTCAGTCATTTCCTAGAAGCTACTCTGCATTCACATCTAAGGATGTTAACACGAACATTGACTTATTAATGAATGCTTCACCTTCATATCTTTAAAGAATAGGAAACTAGATTAGGAAATTTCTACTCTTTTGGAAAATTTTAGATGCATTTAAGAGTCATTTTCTGGGTAAGAAGGCCCCATTGGAAAAAGGCATTTGCTTTAGTGTCTTACAACTTCACTTTGATCCCTGGGACCCACAGAGTAGAAGGAGAGAGCTGAATCCTACAAGTTGTCTCAACTTTCATACACCTGCAAAGATAGGTGATCTTATAAATAATTTTAAATGCCTCTGTGTCTTTGGCATTTAAACTTCTTTAATGAATATAAACTACTTAATAGTACTATTTAAATTTTAATTAGTCATTTTTCCATAACATGCATAAAGTAACAGTTGTATAGCTTGGTTTTCTGTCTGTTACTATTTGGAAAATTCTTAAAATCAGCATAGACACTATAAGAGAACTAGATAATTTGTGAAAAAAAAAATGCTTCAGGATTAGGGACATTCTACTATATAGTCACAGTATTTGGTTTATCTGTCTTACTTACTGAGGCATATAATATACAAGGGGACAAAAAGAGAATACCCTGTAAGTACTTGGTTTGTGCCAGGCTAAGCTCATTTCAGCAATGCCTGCAATTTCACAGCCTTAAGAGGCAGGTACATTTCTACCAGTGAGAAAGGAAGGCATCAACTAAGCAGCTTTAGCTCATAGAGGGTGGTGTGGGAGATACTGTTGAAAGCCTGGGAGTCTTATATAGGATCCCCCTGCAGAGTGTTCTTTCCTTTTAAGTCTCGAGTCTGCTTGCCTTAACAAGTAAAGTTAGACTCCCGGAGAAAACGAGTTAGGAAAACTCCGAGTTACCCCCAGAAAACAAATTAGCAAATATTTGAATATAAGCTGGTGAATATATGCACACATATGCATATGTACATAAACTTTATTTGAAGAAAATGCCTCCTTTATAAACTGGCATTTTACTGTGTGATCAGATTCCTTAATATTTCAAGTACTGATTGACTTGTACAAACACCAGGTGCTTTCAGTCTTTGTGTAGTGATGTAGTGTGGCATTTTAAAGCTTGTATGTATCTGCAAAGATGGCTGCCAGAGTCATGCTTCCATTCCACATGGTGGTTTGACTAATTCCAAGTGTGAAAGCTTAAAAGTTTACAGAATCTGCTGGCTATTTTGAATAATTTTACAGAAATAAAATTTCAGTGTGGGTGTTCATCATTCACTCTGTATTGGTCTTTATAAAAAAAAAATGTCTTTTAAAAATACTAAACACTCAGTATAGAAAATATTAATTTTCAGTATTGATCACTTCTCATGGGCTATTTATTCACATTGTCTTGTTTATAATGTGCTCTATTTACATTTCCATTACTCTGATGATAAAGGCAATTAACTTCATATCTTGTGTTTTTTAAACATAATCTAGATGAGGAAGAGGATGGCAAGACTCCAACTCAGCCACTGTTGAAAAAAGGCAGGCATTGTTCATCATTTTATTTTAATCCCCCTTTTCGTAGTGTTAACTCTTTAATTCCTACCGTTATTTTTCTTTTATTTTAATTTAGCTTTTATTTCCATGGTGAGGTGATATTACAGTTACCTATTAATGCAGATTAAAAGCATTAAGTCTCACTGGAACAAACTGTTATTTCAGTCTATTGAATCGTCATGGTGTTTCTGACATACATAGACCTGGAAAGGCAGGGTTTTCTAGTTTTTGGGTTTTTTTCTTAATTTAAACTGCATGGTTTGGATGATAAGTAGGGACACTGGAAGGGGTGTGTCTGCAGTGTCACTTACTCTCTTCACCATCAGTTACACCCAACCAAATTCTTGATTTTGATACTAATATATTTTTCATTTCAAAAATTGCAATATTTCTCACAGTCATGCTGCGTTTGGGAGATACACAGTCATGTCAGCGTACATGAATTTTATGAGAAGGAGATAGAGGTGAGAGTTATGGAGCAGTGTGGTTTGGTAGCCATATTATGCATCATCATGCAAAACCATTTGTCATGTTTGCTTATGCCATGGCAGCATGAAAAGTGAATGATGGACCTTCTGGAAAGTTAACAGCGGTCCTTCTGTGAATTTCTGTTTTTAAAATTGTGGTAGTGGAGTTCCATAACAGTCATTTGCTTGCTCACAGAGTCAATGCTGATTTTTTTTTTTAATTCCTAGAAATGTAAATGGGAACTCCTTTCAGAAATGCAGCGTATTTGTACCCTTTGTAAGGAGTTCCTGCCATCTTTCTGTGATTCAGAGAAAGATGTGGCTATGTGGCTTTAAAACTGGGTATCACGCATTGAGGGGACAAATGAGCCATGAGCACATTTCCCTGGTAACTGTAAGAGTATATTGGTATTCATCAAGTCATCTTGCACAAATAGCTTTTTATTTAACCCTTAAGTCAGCAAGATACCAGATAATAGAAGAAATATCATAGAACAAGTGTGGAACTTGATTTGTTAGCCTGAGTTAGGGTTCAGTTTTCCTGGAAAGCTATCAGTAAATGTTTGGGGTTGAGGATTCCTGAACATTTCACCAGAATACTTCAGAACACTAGACACTAGGGTAATTTGTTTGAGTTTACCTATTGCTAAACAAAAAGCATTTTTTGTATTCAAATTATATGTTATAAGCTACTGCAGGCTTATTATAGAAGCCATATACAGCTATCTGCATATAAATATATCATACCTGAATTTACAAAGGCTAGGAAATTCTAGGAATGCATTAAGAGGAAATTTAACTTTTCTTCCTTTGTCATAATTTTTTGTTTAATCCTTCAGAATCCAAAGGTCCTATTGCACCTTTAAATGTAGCTGACCAAAAGCTTCTTGAAGCTAGTACACAGTTTCAGAAAAAACAAGGGAAGAATACTATTGATGTCTGGTGGCTTTTTGATGATGGAGGTAAGGCCATTAATATATTTTTTTAAATAATTAGAAATTTAATGAAGATGCAAGGCTAGTGCTAAGAAAATACATACTTTTTTTTTTTTTTTAATGTGTTTACCACGTTCAGGTTTTACCAGCATGCTCAAACAGCACAAGAATCAGTGGGAGAATCATCCACAGTGGTCATGTCTCTTCAGGGTACTTCGCGTAGAAGGCGCTTTGGTCCTTTCTTGAACTCTGTGACAATGCCATTTATTAATTATTACAAACTAGTTTATGGAGTGTCACTCTGGAGTGCAGTCAGCTTGGTCACAGTCACTTTCAGGTTATGAGTGCTTGGCATCAGCATGGAAGTGGTACTGTGCTCTCCTAGCTGTATCTCACCAAGAGTAAGCTATTGAACAAAGTGAATTTTTTTCAGACATCACTGAAAAGGTACTCCCCACTCTTTATGATTACAGATGTGGTAGTGAGGCTCCGGGAGGCTCTGCAAATATATCGTTCTTCCTCAACTCTTGACCTACACTAACATTCACTCACTTGTGGTTCTGAGTGATGCATTTTCACTCCCATGTATCTCTTCTTCATTGATTGGTTGGCATCTCATAATAAAAAAGAGCTTGTCCCTTCATTTCAAGTCATTGATTCTGAGTTTATCCAAAAGGATATGATTTATTACTGTATCATTTGTATAGTTGTCAGTTGTCCACATCTAGCCAGCAGGGTCTCTCCTCACTTCCCTAGGGTGCCATAATGTGTTCATTTGTCATAGGGCACTCATTTTAGAAGTTTATTCCTGAAATAAGATGGTGTCCTAGACTTAACCCATCCTCACTATGGAAAGGAAATTTTATCCAAGGACTCCTTATTCCTTTTAGTCAAGAGTGGTACTTAGAAGCAATACACTGTGGCTTTTTGGAAAAAAATCTTTATTACCAGGCCCCCTCAGTGGACAAAGCTGGGAAATATGTGTAACATTTATGTGTGCATGTATGCACTATATGCAGCTTGAAAGCCAATTCTAGTCTACCATTTCCCTTTTCATTTTTGTTTCAGTGTGAAACTTGTTTCCATTAGTCTATATTCATTTCCTTTCCCTTTCTGTCCGCAACTCACTTTCTGACTGCTGAGGCCACTACCTGATTTGATTGCTTACATAAAGAACTAGAATTCTTGGGCTGAGCCACATCTTGGACCTCCCTCATTGACAGAATTGTCAAGGGAGGACAAATTTAACTTTACATTGATTAATAATACACGTGTTTTTTTTAGATCAAATTGAAAAGAATTTTTTGTTTGAGATATTAGCATTTTTAAAAGGACTTACTTTATTTTTATAATTCAGGTTTGACCTTGTTGATACCCTATCTTCTGACTACCAAGAAGAAGTGGAAAGATTGTAAGATCCGAGTATTCATTGGTGGAAAAATAAACAGAATAGACCATGACCGGAGAGCGTAAGTTTGTTTCAAGTTGGAGAACATTAATCAAATAGTTATTTCATGATTGAGATTTAATAAAATAAAACCATATAGACTCTGAAGTATTAACTAAACTGCAAAAGTCTAGTTAAATAGAACCTCATACTCTTTAATTTTTTGGCATCTATCTTTAAATTATAAATGAGTAATTTTACTCAGATGTAATAGTTTAGTACACTGGCATTTTAGAAAATCTTTATTAGTACCTATACTGTCAGGTATTAGAAGCATGTCTTTAATCTTTTGAGAAAAGTGCTTAGAAATTGCCCTTTCACATCTAGAGAGGTCGTATGGACTTTGGAGACATCAGGGTCCTATTGTTGTCTGCACCGACATGAGTCTGGCTTCCTTCCGGTGCTTCTGTCCTGGCCTTGTCCTTGCAGGGTACTACACACATTGCTCCCGGTTTCATGTAAACAGTCTGAGAGTTTTGACTGATCCTCCTACAATCCCATCACTGCTTCTAGACAGTGTGAGTGCTACAGTGTGGCATGAAGGTTTCTGATGGTCTGTCTTGTCCACACTTTAGATATGTTCTGCATGCTGTCCACATTTTGGGGATTTCAGGCATTTTTGGTCTACTTGTTTTATTATGTACATAGTTCTCCATTTGCTTCATTCAGCTATATAAATATCTTGTGTGGCAAGACTTCTCCTGGGGAGAAAAATACACATATCTACTCACCCCAGCTAGGGAGCCCCCGACAAGACCACATGGATACCACCAAAGTCCAGCTTGGTGAAACAGTGGGTTTTATTGGGGTTCCTTACAGGAGCAGAGATGAGTCAAAGACAGCTGCACACTGACAGTTCGTGAAAGCTGGAAACCTGGAGCGTATTGCACAGCCTGCAGGCAGCTCAGCTGGTTAGAGAATGCCTTTGTGCTCTTGCGAGTGACTCTGGTCTGACCCTCCTCTCGTGGCATGGCTGGCTTCTGCTTCCAGGCAGCTTGTCTGGTCTCAGAGTCTTCTTTGCAGCTTGGCCTCTCTGAGAGTGACTGTCGGCAGCTTTATTGCTTACTCTGGAAGGGAGGAACCCAGTAAATATGGTCAGTTTCAGGGACTTCCTGATGCTGTTTTGTGTTTTTTACCTTCCTCCTTACGGAGCAGGATGAAGTATATCAAACTTGGAGGAAACTGTTATACAACAAAATGCTGTATTCTCAGCTCAATTCTCAGTGCTGGGCCCTACTGTAGCTAGTCCTCCCTTTCCTTCCTGAATTGGTTAACATTTGAGACCACTCACATCACTTTCTTAAATTTTAGTTTTGTGGGATCTGTAATGCTTAGTAGATTTAAAAGGTATTCATTTTCAATAGTGAATTATGAACAATACTTCTCACACCTTTTTAAAGCTATCATCTTATTAAACTTAGGATCTTATTAGTTGATTGCTTTTCTTGGGTGTTTCAGCTTTCTGTTGTTAACCCCAATATTTCATGACCCTTGTACAAGGTCTTTACTTACTAAATGACAGGCTTATAGTACTCCTTTCTCTGACCATTCCCAAAGACAAACACTATGAACTAACTCTTTATGAACTGTATCTTCAATTTGTCCTTGAAAGTTTTTTGGGGGCCTTAAGATATTTAAGATAAATCTAATATTAAAAACCCTAAAATAACTTACGAGGCTTTCATGCTTCAATATTCACTAAATTACTTTTATCACGCTAGCGGTCACATTACATTATGGATATTACTTGGCCATCCCCTTAAGGTGTTATATTAGTTACTTTCTCATTGCTGTAACAGAGAATCTGAGTGACAACTTGAGAAAAGGGGGTGTTTGTGTGGACTTGTATTTGCGGGTACAGTAGAAAAACATGCTGGCTGCATTGTGTAGCGGTTACTCATTTTGTGTCTGCAGTCAACAAACAGAAGAATCACTGCTCAGTTTTTCTGGAAATTTCCTCAGTGACACACCCAGAAGTATGTCTCTCCTAAGTGATTCCAAGTTGAGAGTGAAGATAGTAAGCATGGATAGAGTTGAGTTAGACTGTAGTCATGTCTACTCAGGCAATTTCAGTATGGAGAGTGAGCTAATTCCGGAAATTTGTGTAGCAATGGATAGACTTTCCCTTTAAGTCATCTTATCACACATGTGGCGAGTAAAAAACACTTGTTAACATCCTTTGCATGTCTTAATGCTGTTCTTTTCGTCACAGGATGGCTACTTTACTTAGTAAATTCCGAATAGATTTCTCCGATATCATGGTACTAGGAGATATCAACACCAAACCAAACAAAGAAAAGTAAGTTGCTGGATAAATTATTCTATATAAATTTCCAACTCCTCTGGCTGTGCAGACACAGGAAATTTAACTTGAAATGATCACCAGGGTTTTCCCTCTGACCTGAGGGTGTGTGAAGCCACGTGGCAATTGGCTTGCTTCAGTAAGCTGAGGAGAACTCTTCATTTCAGAAGATTCAGATTTCACTCTTCACACTTGCTGTTTGAAAATTGCAGATAGGTTTTAAATTCCAAGTGTTTCCTCCCCACAGTCACTGAAAGTATTGGATCCTAACTTTACATATGTATTATTTCCATTGTTTACTGTTATGGTGAAAATCTGAGTTTCCCTGTAATAGTTGCCCTGAGAGTCTCTCAGTTTCTACTCTTGGAATAGTGTTTCTGAAAATGGCACGGAGAGACACTTATGGTCTGTGTATTTGGTCAGAAGTAACTGCAATTCTAGGCATGTGTTAAATGAGTTACAGAGCTGGGACAAAGATGATGTTTTACATCGAGTTGGAGAAGATTTTGCTATTTGAGCAAATCTGTATTTTACTCATCACTCAGGAATCATTTTGGCTAATGTGATACTCTGAGGGTTATCAAAGGCAAGGGCAGATGCAGTATGACAAGCTTTAGCTCCAACTTTATTATTGTCTGTGCAGTTCTAAATCGGCAGTTGGATAGACTAAATTAGTGTTTTCTAACTAAGTCATAAAAATTATTAAAATTCAAAATAAGGTTGCCGGTGGTTTTTGTTCTTTAAAGTATTGCCGCTTTTGATGACATGATTGAGCCATACAGACTTCATGAGGATGATAAAGAACAGGACATTGCAGATAAAATGAAGGAAGATGAGCCTTGGCGAATAACAGATAATGAGATTGAGCTTTATAAGACAAAGGTACGCTTCACTTCTTTCTCCTTTTCATTAAACTTACATGTGTTTTAATAAAATCACTGATGCTCTAAGTAACAGGCACTCTGATTTGGTACAGGGGGAGATGTTTATGGAAATTAAACCTCTCTTAAGGTTGTTTTACGTTTGCATGGTGGGAAGCAGAATGAAATATTTTTCTAAACAGTATTTTATTATACAGAATGTGTATTTGCTACTTGCTGTACAAACCATGATAGTTCCTTCATTTTCTTGTTCCTCCTCCTCCTCTTTCTTGGATAGTGCTAAAGATCTAGCATGTGGCTTCATGCATGGGCTTACACTGTGTACTGAGTTACAATCTGCCTTAGACTGTTACCATTCTAATTGTTAGATGTTGAGGAGTGATTGTGTCTTTTCCATTTCAGACATACCGGCAGATCAGGCTTAATGAATTGTTAAAGGAGCACTCAAGCACAGCTAATGTTATTGTCATGTAAGTGTTGTTGGGATAACATTTAGGCTATTTTTATGAAAGTGCATGCATGTGCCTGTGTCTCTATTATAACAGTTCTTAGTGGTTTTTTAGAATTTCATCTCCTCTCTCTTTCAACTCCTGTGTCTATCTTGTTTCCTCTCATATTTGTGGCTTTCCTTTAATTAGTATTGTTACAATAAATTACTAAATAATAATTATTGTGATAAAAAGTTATTTTACACACCATCTATTATAATAAATGCTGAATCCATTTAGTGTTGCTCATATAGATATGTTTTTAAGGCTGACCACTTGTAACTGAATGACCAACTGGGAGCTCATCCCTGGAGAAGACAGATTAATTTCTTTAGCTTTTTATCTCGGGTGATGCCTTGTGAAGTTTCTGCTATTCACATTGGCATGTCATTTTGTGTTATCATTGTTCAGGTTTATATCATGGGCACAACTTCCCTGTCATGTAGAGAATACATTAATGCATAGAAAGACTCAGGTTCTCTGGCTTTTACAGTCTTTCTGCCTCTACTTTAGCCATGTTCCCTTAGGTATATAGATTGGGGTTGAGTCCTTCAGTTGCAGCTTTCTAAGCCATAGTTTTTTAGAATGAATCCTTACAGGTCAAGAGGTCATTACCATGCTCTATAAATAGAAATTAAAATTCATAAGAGAGAGTAAAATTATTTTTAATTATATTTCATTTCCATCTATAACTTCTACTGTCTGGGTTGTAATACAAATATATTTTTTCTTCTGAAGAATCTAATCCTTAGTGAAGGGTAAGTTTGATTAAATATTAAGAAATACAAAGTATATGTATTGAAATTCAGAGAAATGTTTTACACTTAGGGAACAAATGTTTGAACAAATGTGTTGAAACCTGAAAATCGTGATAGTGAGATGAGAATATGCATAGTAGTTATTATGGTATCTATGCAGAATTTCCCTCCATTCAGATTTTATCATGGGAATCGGGACCTAATTAGTAATTGTTGTTTCATTTGCTTCTCCAAAGCACTGCTCAGTATCTTCTCATTCTGATCCTAGGAGTCTCCCAGTTGCACGGAAAGGTGCTGTGTCCAGTGCTCTGTATATGGCTTGGTTAGAAGCTCTATCTAAGGACCTGCCACCAATCCTCCTAGTTCGTGGGAATCATCAGAGCGTCCTTACCTTCTATTCTTAATTATTCTGCACCATGGACTGACTGCCCTCCAGGAATGGTACTTCAGTGCCTAGTGAAAGCGACTGAAATCGTCAGTAACACTTTAATATCACAGTGGCAAACTGGGACTTTGTTTCAGTACTTCATTTATTTGAAAGCACATGGAAAAGTTGCTCCATTGCTAGATATATGGAGATTTCAGTTTTAGTCTCCTCCATATCTCAATCTCAGTGACTGGTAGAGTCTTTCTTGTTGGACTAAAGTTCATGAGAGTAAAGTTGTCCTTTGCTACTTGAAAGCAATAAGAGTGCGTTATTTTTTGATTGATGAAAGGAGTACAAAAAGCCTTTAGCCTTGAGGTGCCTTCTGAAATTAACCAAATTTCATCCATATATCTATCATCTTTTGTAAATTTATAGAATGTTAAACTTTGCCTTCCGATATTTTTATTTCTAATCCCTGTCACTTTTCAGTGGACACTCCTTTTCATCTTCCATTGACCAGTTAGTCTTGAGTACTGTGTGTTTTGTGTTACTTTTGTAAAAGTATCTGTTAGATACTAAAGAGGATTAGGACAAACTAATAAAAATATGTGGGGAAGTATCCAAAAAATGGAGCTTAAGGTTAGGTTTATATGAGTATATGTACATGTAGAGCTAAGAAATAGAGGCCCCAAAACACCATTTTGACTCTCAATTGAAATTATGTATTATTTCTGATAAATCATAAAGAAAGGTGAAGATCTACCCAGTACTTCCTATATCTGAAAGATCACGTGTCCTTTTCCAAGAAAACCCCAGATCATTTGTATTATTTTTAAAAAGTTCTGTTCTAAATTAGAATTCCTCTCAAATGTGAGGGGCTTTTAAGACATGCTAACAGGTGTTTTTGGAAGAAATTTAGACAAAGAAATGCCCTTTAATAGAACATTTCAATAAACACTATGGGAATTTCATTATCCTATGCCATCCTTTATTTTAAAAAAAAAAAAATCATTAAGTTTTTATCAATGGTTAAATGGACCACTGTTTTCTTAGTGGAAATGGTTTTAGGCTTAATTTATTCAACTATCAAGTACATTTAGTCTTAGTACACTCAGGTTTGAACAGATTATTCTGAACATTGAAAGCTAATCCATTCTTAATACTTTAAAACTTTTGTGTTAAAGAAAACTGCCAGTTTGTGCGTTTGACCTTGTCGTCTACGAGTGCACTTGACAGCGTGTATGTGCTGTCCTGAAAGCTTTATATACGGTTTTTAATGTGAAGTTTCTCATTTTTCAAGGAAGGACTTCCTAAACACATTTCAAGGGATTTGTGTCTACATGTCTGTATGTGTGTATGTTAAGCATACACAGGTGCATATGTGTATATGTAATGAAATTTCTGTTGCTGGAGTTTCAAATTTTAAAGTGATCATAATTCAGTAGATTACCTTTTTTTGTTTTGTTTTAAAAAACATTCAAGTCAGATCAAGAGGTTATGGGTTTCATGGAGGACAAAGATAATTTGAAGATCATTGTGTAACTATATACAGTTATCCGGTTAGGTAAAGTGCTGTTGAGTAGATAGATGATCAGTAAGTTTCAGTGGTGGAGAACAGACACTGACTCCCCTCATCTTGAGGGAAATGTTAGAAAGGCATTTTTCAGTGGTGACATATTTCTACTGCATGAACATGACCTAAATTAATGCCAACTGGGTGTCTAGTCATTTCCATTCAGAATATTAAGAAAATGAAGTTAAGCGATTTTTCTTGAAGTTAAGCGATTTTTCTAAGTTTTTTCCTACATTTTAATGCAATATTTTTCCATTTATTTTAAGTTCTGCAGAGTTTGGAGGCAATATAAAAGTGTCATTCATTAAAGCATATCATGTGTGAATTTTTCTGAATGGATAATAGGGCATGGGCTGAATGCTGCTATCTTGAGATGTACACAGGTATACTTAGGTTCCACCCCCCCCCCATTCAGGAAAACTTCATTGTGATCTGGTCTACAGAAACTAAATGTCATACATCATACATCTGTGTATAAAGTACATAAGTGGCTCTCAGTACGCATAATAGGGAGGGTAATATTGTTTGTGAAATAATGTAAGAAGCTTTCCACTTTTAAAAACTACATTACATTCACTTAGCACTGGATACCAGGTCAGACATTTTCAAGGTTGCAGCAGTACTCTAAAATGAAAATTTTCAACAGTTAATTCTTAGAGATGCTAGCTAGTATTGAAGCTATTTTTATTTTATACTGAATTCTGATTACTTCGATGCCAAATTATTTCTCAGTCCTAATAATTATGCAGTGGCAATTTGAACTCATTGTTATGATAGGTAAAAAGCTCATTGGGTTCAAAGAGAATATTAGTGTGGGTTCAAAGAGAATATTGGTGTTGGTTATTAACAGTTACTAAATCAAATATTTATTTGTTGCAATGTTTCCTTTGTGCTTTAGGTTTTCCTTTACACCCCTTTCATATTGCTTTCTGACATACTTGTTGGTTTTTTTTTTTTTTAAGACTATGGAAATAATTTAAAGAGTTGAGCTTTGGTGGATGATTATCTGCTAAGTTTGAAAATGTAATATTTTGATAATACTGTACTGTACCTGTCACAATGCTTTTGTAATGTTTTAACCCTGAGGATTGCAGTTGCCACTTTGTACAGACGTTACTGCAATAAAGGAAGTGGAGTCATTCAACCTTTACTATCTACTCTTAATTTTACCTAGGTTAGGCCAGCCTTGCGGTCTCATCCCACTTAAGGGATGAGTACTCCCTTAGCTTCTGTGTTTTTGAAGTGGCCTTAGGGAAGCTGAGTGAATTGGTCACCACCTCTAATCTCCCAAGAATGACTCTTGCTACTGACTTCACTGAACGGGTACAAAATACAGCACAGTAGGATTGTTCTGAAAGTCACTTAGATTTTTCTGATTAATAATTTAGGGCCAACCAAAAGATTGAAGGGATTCATATCCCCTGAACTTAAGTTGACTCCTTGCTCCTGGGATTAGTTTTTTTGGTTAGCTGGTTTACAGTTTCACATTTGGACCCTTGAGTGGGTGTATTACCTGTGCTAGATAGCTACTTACATTTACTCTTGTGAAAGCAGCCTAGAACAGTTAAGACATTTGCTAAAGGTTATGGAAGTTGCCAAGGACATTGGCCAAAACCTGTGCTCACTGCTGCTCTGAAGACAGCTGAGATAGAGCAGGCATGTGCACACACCCCCTCCCACCCTACCCTGCAATGCTACCCACTATTCATATTAGAGCTACAAATGAATACTCGTCCCAGATTGCCATCATAGATCTGAAATCCATTTGAGAGATTTTTGTACTCAAATAAGCTGTGTCACTTTACTTTTTGGGAGCTCCGTAAGGAATTCAAAAGTGACCATGACATTTTAATATTAAACAAAAACCAGTAGGGTTTAGTTACTCATTTCAGCTGTGGGAAACATTACAGTTGACATGCACTTGTTAATATCTAGCATCAAGGTAGTTCTAGAGCTCAAAGAATAGTGAACATAGTGCAGTCCTTGGATGCACTCAGTAGAAAATTCTATCTTGTTCAGGTACTTCAGATGTACTAAGGCAAAATATGAATTCAGAGTCATCATTTTAGAAAAAACATGGGCTTATCACTTCCTGGTGTGTAGGTTTAATCTTTTGCTGCTGTCCTTATAGACCAGGGACTCACTTTCCAGTCCAATCACACATTCTCTGTCCTGCGGTTTGCATATGAATACAGTTGTCCAATTTGTTCTGCCTACAATTAAAAGCTAAATTTAACTTCTTTTGATCCATGAAATAGCATAAGTCATCCTTGGACCTTGGATGAAGAGCCTGACTCATTCCTTGGTAAAATTGTATCAAAATATTGCTGAAGCATTTCTTAGAGAATTGTTAAGATTTTACCCTGGAAGAGGACATAATTTAATCTACAGTAGAATATTTCATAGACTAGCTTTAGATTCACCTTTCTCATCTCTAATAACAGACATCCAAAGATAATACTGAGAGTTAAGAAGGCAATATTTCATATTTACAGAGCTACATGGAAAAAGATAATGAACAGGGTATGCTTGCCTATTTGCATTTTAAATCCAATTAAATCAATTATAAAGGCTGTAATTCTATTTTGAAAATGAACAGTTTAGGGCAGTGGTTCTCAACCTGTGGGAAGAACGCCTTTCACGGGTTGCATATCAGATATTTTCATTCTGATTCATAACTAGAAAAATTATGAAGTAGCAATGAAAATCATTTTATGGTTATGGGACCCCCACATGAGGGATCATACTAAACGTCTGTAGCATTAGGAAGGTTGAGATCCATTGGTTTAGGGGCTTTATTGAATAACCAATAAGCTTTAGGTTCTTTTTCCTTTTTAATTAAAATTGTTTGCACACAGAATATTTTGATGTTTTTGCTATCTCCAACTCCTTCCAGATTCTCCACACCTTTCTACCCACCACTGTTATATTCTTTTTTTCTTTCAAAACAAAATATCCTCATAAAGTCAAAGCAACAGACCAATAAGACAACTAGATGAGTAAATAAATAAAATGAAATAAAAAGTCCATTAAAAAATCCAAAGAGTTTGTTTTGTGTCACCAACTCCTGGACATGGAGTGGGCCTGCCCTGGAGTGGGGTTTATATGCCCAGGAACCCTTCATTGGAGGAGACTGTTCTCTTTGTCAGCAGGTATCAATTGCAAATAGCTTCTGTTAGGGATGGGACCCCAATGTCTGTTTACCCCATCTGACTTGAACCTGTATATGGCTTGTTTGTGCTCCACACAGGTCCTAGAAACTCGTAACTGCACCAATCCTGAGGTGCCTGGAAGATGCTGTTTCTTTGGAGTCACCCATCACCTCTGACTCTAAAACTCTTTCCATCCCCTCTTCTGCACAGATCCTTGACCCCTGAGGGGTGGGGTTTGATGAAAACATTTAGGGCTCTGTGCTCCAAAGTCTCCCATTCTCTGCACATTGTCCAGAAGCAAGAAGCTTACTCTCTCTCTTTCTCTCTCTTTATGTGTGTGTGTGTTTGTTTTTGTTGTCTATCTACTGCAAGAAGACACTTCACTGATAAGGCTTGAAGGAGATACTTATAGGCATGGCAGTATGTTATTAGAAGTCATTTTATTGCTGTGGTCTTTTAGAACAATAGTATTAGGTTTTCCCCTAGGCTCATGACCTATCTAGTCTCAAGTTCTTGGCCACTTTCGGAGTGTCTGGTATGGATTTCATCTCATAGAGTGGGCCTAAAATCTAGTCAAAAGTGATTGATCAATCCCATATCTGTGCCACTATTACACCAGTATATCTTGCAGGCAGATTGCTTACATGAGTCTCAGTGTTTATTAGCGTAGTGGTATTGATTATTGTTCTCCAGCAGTGGGAAGATTTCCAATACCATGAGTGCTAGGCTGTGGATGTCTGGTCTTCTCTTTATTGGGTGGGGGTTTGTTTGGGTTGCTGTTGCCCGCTCTGGATAGATGGAATCAAGTGTGGTGGCTGTGAAGTCCCTGGTAAAGAGTATGTCTGTGGGTCAGCAGGTGACACAAAGGAATAGAGGTGGGCTTGGGCTTGGAGGGAAGGCTGGGAGGGCCAATGGGGACCTTAAGCCTGTGCCCAGAGGCAAAGCCCCCAGGGAATAAAGGTGAGGTATCAGGAGAGGTTCCTGCAGGTAAGCTGTGGCAGGTTGGTCTGGAGAGATCAGAATGGAGGGCAGGCAGGAAGGATCATGTGAAGGATAGGTCCTGGGGCTTCCCTGGTGGATGACCAAGAAATAGAGATGAGCTGGAAGGGAAGGCTGAGGCAGGCAGCCAGAACAGTTTCATGTGACAGAGACTGCGGAATCTCCAGCAGGAAATGGCACTGATAACTTTTCAGTCTGCAATTGTTCTGCTGAAGCCGCCAAGTACACTTTGAGTTCCTACAATGCTCTCCTAAGATATTTAGAAGATGATAAGGGCAATTTGAGAACAGGAAAGACACTGATGGTGGTGGGATGGGAAGCCATGCTCCAAGACGTTCATGGACTCAAAGATTTGCCTTTAAAAAAAAAATTAAGCCTTCACAGTTATATTTTCCTTTGGAAAATGGTGAATTGTAAAGAATGGAGGTCATTTTATTCCCTGAATTTGTTTTTAAGAAATGTTAATCGTTTCCTATCAGTTACTGGATCCTAGTCTCTGTAGCCCATTATGCCAATGTCCTACTTCCAGGCTGCACCCATGGAGGTAATCTTTGCGTATGTTCATACACCTGGGATTTTAGGGTTGTTGACAAACTTCACAGTTGATTTTTTTTTTCCCTCAGACAGTGTTAAGCCCAGGTGTGCTGTGTATTGAAACACTGATGACAAGAGTGGTTCTCAAGCTGCCACCACTTAGTTTACACCAGAATCTCCCAGAGGGCTCAGTAAAGTTCACTTAAGCAACTTGCCAAGCATGGGCAAAGTAGTTTATGCCCAGCCACACACACACAGTCATACGTCATTCCTGGTGCATCATAGCTAGCTAAAGTGAAGGTCTCTGCTTTCTTCCTTCATACAACTCGCCCTTGTGTGGAGTTGTCTTTGCCAGTTTTTCTGTGGGATACATTCTTTCTGAGTATCCAGCTTTTAATAGCAACTATGGATCAAATTATTGAACTTTTACTAGTTTGTCTGTGGCCAGATCAGAAGCTAAATGTCACTAATCGGACATGAAATCTAGGAAGGCAGCCAAATTCCTCACTACATTTTGTGAGGTGGCTTCTGGAGAGAGCCCACTCTGAGCCCCAGCCACTCAGCCATGCCTGCAGCAAGAGGGGGAATATCTATCTGGAATATCTATCTTTGTTATCCTAGAGAAGGGATGAGGAAAGGGTATCAGTGAAGCCCTGCTTAGCAAGAGTGGTCCCTCTGACTTGGTGCTGGCACTAGTGAGGTATGAATCATACATATACCTGCCTGAGCTGCAGGGGGCTCTCTATACAAGTGAGGAAGGAGAGAGACGAGTGAGAAGACCAAAGCAATAGATCCTGTGACCTGGTGGGACTGCTTTTAATAATAACGGTCCTGGTTCAGTTGAATATGAGAGAACCTGAGTCACCAGATGTTTTGGAGTCTAATAACCGGGACTTATCTGAAGGTAGAATATTTATGATGTTCACTTCTGAATGTGGCTCATTATAATAGAGCACACTATGAATGGCTAAATGGCATTAAACCCCCTAATAGACCTTACCGTGACTGGTTTTAAGGTCTCATTTAAGTCTTTAACAGCCACAATCTGGTTCTGAATCTTGGTCACAGTACAAACCATCCTAGAATCCAGATAAACACAGTGTAGCTGAACCCTGTGCCCTTAGCCATGCAGCCACCCTGCTCCCAGCTTACATGCTATTGTGAGGTCACTACAGAAAAACAAAACAACAAAAAACGAGGAAAAACTGCCTTTCAAGTGAGCCCAGGGTTGGCTGCACCTGTTCATTCCACCCTCTCATTCTTGTCTTGCACATCTGTGTGAACACGGGCTCCCTGTGGCTGTTCCTGTGAACCGAGGGGGTCAGAGGAATGCTCTCAGGAAACCCTGAAAGCTCAATGCCAACTATTTTCTGGAAAGCAATGCTCTTGACTTTTCCAGATGCTAACCTTTGGGAATTCCCTGGCAACACCAACAGGTGAAGCCATCCTTTTCTGATTT